TTCTCACGTTGATGAATGTGAATCTTCCAAGTCTATATCAAATGCACCAATTAAATAGTTTGTACTTTACCTCCAGGAACCCCTGAGCTCACTTGCAGTGTTTTGAGAGGGACAGAGGTGTTACCTGAATACAGCCGCAACTTTTGCTCAGCCCTAACTCTGCTTGCAAGTCCCTTACCCTGATCTGGAATCCAGAGGTGGTCCCCTGAAGCCCAGGGTTACAGCTGAGTGGGAGGGCATGCCTCACAGAGCCAACATCTGCCACTCTGCTTCTTGCTGAGCCCTCAGAAACCCAGTTTTGAGTTTGAAGAATCAATCCAAACCCAGTAAAGTACTTAAAGTTCAGGGGCTTTGATCTTTGCTTGGCAAAAGCCCTAAAAGCAGAGTTCTAATTTTGTTATTTCCCCATTATCTGCCTTTTTGCATACTAGCCCCAGCCCTGCTCAGCAGGAACTTGCAGTGTTGGACCTTTCTCCCTGGGTTTGGAACCTATTTTCTGATGCCCAGAGTGTGTGTGAAGGGTGGAGGTGGGGTGAAATGGGTTGGGAGAGGGAGGAGGGAAAGTTGTTTAAAGGAAGAAGCAGAACAAGAACAGATTTAAAATGCATGTTGGTTATCTTTAAAAAAAAAAAAAAAAAAAAGGTGCCTGGGTGGCTCAGTTGGTTAAGCGTCTGCCTTTGGCTCAGGTCATGATCTCAGGGTCCTGGGATCGAGTCCCCCATTGGGCTCTCTGCTCAGTGGAGAGTCTGCTTCACCCTCTCACTCTCCCTCTCTGCTCTCTCAAATAAATAAATAAATAAATCTTAAAAAAAAAAAAAAAAGGTCTACTTTATTTATCCCTTATTTTAAAACTTTTTCCCAAAGGGCTTTGAAATGGAAAAGTACAAATGACTCCACTCTAACCAAGGCAGTTAAAATTCCTAACGTGGGCCCCTCTGGGTGATACAGGAAACACAGAGCAATTGCTTTCCTGTGTTAAACTTGAACAACTCAAGTTGTCAGTTTGAGAGAAAAACAATATATATTTAAAAGCAAGGTGACTGGGGCACCTGGGTGGTTCAGTCGGTTAAGCTCTGCTTTCGGCTCAGGTCATGATCTCAGGTTCCTGGGATGGGCTATCTGCTCAGCTCACTCTCCCTCTCCCTTAAATAAATAAAATCCTTAAAAAATAAATAAAAGCAAGTTGACTTTCTTGTCACAGCTAGCATAAACCTCAAGCCAGCTAGCCCATTTTACCTTCTTGTTCATAGTAGCTTATTTCAATGGATTATAGCACTAGGATATATCCACCTTTAACGCAGTTATGGGATATTGTGACCATGTTGATGATCTGTTAAAAGTGCTCTAAAGACGTAATGAAGACCCTGTATATTTGCAGGCTCTTAATTTTATGATGGACAAAGCAACCAACAACTGAAAATCAATTAAAAAACAAGGCTTCCTGGGCGCCTGGGTGGCTCAGTTTAGTTAAGCGTCTGCCTTCGACTCAGGTCATGATCCCAGGGTCCTGGAATTGAGTCCCACATCGGGTTCCTTGCTCAATGAGGAGCCTCGTTCTCCCTCTTCAGCTCCCCCTGCTTCTGCTCTCTGTCAAATAAATAAAAATCTTTAAAAAAACAAGCCTTCCCTTGTTGGTCAAATGTTAGCAGTGGTTTGAACTTCCATTGTAAAGTTTCTTTCCTGGCCCCGCCTGGGGCAAGGGGGGGATATGAAATGGCTAAAAATATAAACAAAAGGAAGGAGAGATCAGAAGCTAGATGATCAGATAACTGAAAACTGACTTGGGGTAAGTTCTTTTTTCCCCCCTTCCTTTCTTGAGTAATGACAACTCTACTTTGGATTATGTTCAATACCAAGAAAACAAACAGGCTTTAGGTTATAAAAAGGAACCAAATTTCATTAAATTATATATAGCTTGGTATCAGTATTAACATCCTAGAAAAAACAAAAGGAATTTGGTATTTAAAACCAAAAAACCTGTTTTCTTCATCTACCAAAATCCAGTGTTAAGTAAAACTTAGTTAAGTAAAAATTAAGGCAGTTTACCAGCTCTTTTGAAATGAATATATATTCTCCAATTCATATATGTTGTGTCCTAAAGTTTAAGGACAAGTGAAATTAAAATGCACTTCCCACAAAACCGGTGGGTGATATAAATGGTGGATCAAAGGTTCCAGATGCCTCAACAACTCCAACAAAGATTTCTTCCCCCCCACCCCCTGCCAAAAAAAAGGCTTCCAACTAGGTCTCAGTAATAAATACTATATAGTACTTTTCTTACTGAAGAGGATGCATTCAAATACTTAATGACTCTATAATCTTGAGATAAAAATTTCATAGGAAACAAAGGGATGCATTACCAAATCTCAAGAGGATTGATTAAAACAACCAACCTGCAGTGCCTGGTGGTTCAGTCAGTTAAGCATCTGCCTTTGGCTGAGGTTATGATCCCAGGGTCCTGGAATCTAGCCCCAAGTCAAGCTCCCTGCTCACTGGGGAGCCTGCTTCTCCCTCTATCCCTCTCCCTGCTTGTTCTCTCTCTCAAATAAATAAAATCTTAAAAATAAATAAAACACCCTAAGGGGCACCTCGCTGGCTCAGTTAGCTGAGCATGCGACTCTTGATCCCTGGAGCTATTAAGTTTGAACCCCACACCAGATGTAGAGATTACCTTAAAATAAATTTTAAAACAAACACCCTCAGACAATGTCCCACATACCAAAAATGTGGCCATCTCTATCAGTTGAATTGCTGGGAGAGGTCTTCCTGGTAGAGAGGTCAAGGTATGGCAGGGCCCTTCCTGTAGGTAGCTAGTAAGACCCATTGCTTGGCTGAATCATTATTTCCATGTTAGCTGGAAGTAGGGGATCAAGCATTGGGTAAGGACTCTGCATTCATTGTTTCTGATGCCCCTTTCATGGCTCCTCTTCTCCCCAACTATTGTCCATTTACTTTTAGATGGCTGGATATGAATTATTTTAGCCTTTTCTCCACATCTAGACATAAAATGCCTGCTTCAGATCTAAAACTCTGTGGTCTTTGGGTAAATGTATAATCAAGCAACAAGTGCAAATGAATACCAGCTCCCTTTTTATGAGGAGAGGTATTAAGCATCTGGAAAGGGATGGGGAGAGAGAAGGCTAAGGAATGGGTTTATTGGAGAAGGGAAATTTAAAATTGAGGCTCTAGCTTTTGCTTAGTGTCAGCAAACTCACGTTAAGTGTACGCACACACAGGCATAAGGGAACTCCTTGACATGGAATTGAAAACAAAAGCATTTCCACCTCATATAACAAATTATAGTTGACGTATGTTTGTGTTTTTGCAACATGGTTGGTTTGCACTTGTATAAAGGGGCTTCTTTACCAGGAACCTAAATTTGAACATTAGGGAAAACATACTAGTATGCAACACCAGGAAGAGGAAGTAGAAAGTTTCTTCCCATTTTCCTAGGCACAAGGTCCATTTTTAAGAAAATTTCAAAATAGGGCGCCTGGGTGGCTCAGTTGGTTAAGCGACTGCCTTCAGCTCAGGTCATGATCCCAGGGTCCTGGGATTGAGTCCCACATCGGGCTCCCTGCTTGGCAGGGAGTCTGCTTCTCCCTCTGACCCTCCTCCCTCTCATGCTCTCTGTATCTCATTCTGTCTGTCTCAAATAAATAAATAAAATCTTTAAAAAAAAAGAAAAGAAAATTTCAAAATAGGGTGCCTGGGTGGCTCAGTTGGTTAAGTGACTGCCTTCGGCTCAGGTCATGATCCTGGAGTCCTGGGATCGAGTCCCACATTGGGCTCCTTGCTCAGTGGGGAGCCTGGTTCTCCCTCTGACCCTCTCCCCTCTCATGCTGTTTCTCTCTCTCTCTCAAATAAATAAAATCTTTAAAAAAAATTTTTTTTCAAAATAAGCTGTTTGGCTTTGGCTCACTCCTACTTGGTATGAAAACACCCAGGGCCTTCATGTGACCTTTAGCTACCTAGAGTTACTCAGTACCCTAAGTGCCCTTTGTCTCAAACCTTACCCAGTCCCTCCTTTCTCACTTCTAGCCCTACCAAAACTACTTCTCTCTCACAGAAGTGGGGGACAGAGCTTAGTGGCAGCATCTCTTAAGATAACCAATAGTATGGTAGGTAATATGTCAATGATCAGGGGGTGGACATGTTGTTTGTTTTTTGGGTTTTTTTTTGCTACTTACTCATAATTTTAAGCTTTAGGATTTATAAATTAAGTTTATAAATTGATTTGTGAAAAATAAAGTCTTTAAAGTGTATATCTGATTGTTTTAGAACATACTGTTTCTTTCCATCTATATATCTCTCTTAATAATACTGTTGTTTGAAGATAATTCAATTTATCCTTGGACTTGAGATTTTTTGTTATCATTATAATGAAAACCTTTCTTTCTGAGATACAGATGGTAAAACTTTTATATGCATGTATCAGCCACCTTACTATTATTAGTAGACATTAGTCTACTAATTAGTAGGCATTTGGACTAACGGCTAATGAAGAGATGATGTGCTACCAACCTCCCTGCCACTTGTTCATGTATGACTGAATTAAACATTACTAACCACAACCTTCTTTTTAACAAAGTCATTCTCTAGTGTTGTAGAGAAATCAGTGGAATGAAACAAATTGAGTAAATACTTAATTCCCTCATTCTCCCACCCCTGCTCAAGGGTAGGCTCCTTGCAAGGTCCCTCCAAGTCTTCCTAACTAATGATGGATATACCAACTGGCAACTGGTACAGCAACAGTGGTTCCTTTTAGCTGAATTATGGTTGTTAGCTATATGCTAACTGGCTTTTTCTTACTGGGAAAGTCCTCGGATTAAATTTGGTTTAAAACATCTGAACAAAGACAGTATTGTAGCCCAACATGTCAATGGCCTTGATTCTTTCCCTCCCTTGTAATAATACCGCTGGCTCCTGTGTAAAAGGAAGGCGACTCTTGACTGGTCCATTTCCTCCACGCCTGATAATGGAGTCAGAAGGAAGCATGCTTCCGTATTATTAGTTTATTTCTTCTTAAGTTAGAAGCAAGACAGAGGATGCAGTTCCTACAGGTTTGAATGCTTGATCATACTTAGGTGAGAACTGATGCAGTGAAAGAAAAAAAGCGCTTTAGCCAGAGTGTGCAATGAATACATAGCTCAGATCCAGACACATTCAGGCTTTAAATCTTCACCATGGTTGGCGATTTGTCTCCTACTGCCTGGGACAGGGTAGTACAAACTTTAAGGCCTTCTCTTCATCCTGTGAAGCCAGACTGGGTGCTGAGAGTCTCCCTTTTGTTTGCTTTCTCTAGGACCCTGCTGACTGAATCTATGTGATTTCTCCCAATCCGGGAGAGTGGGGCTGCTTTCTGCACACGCTCACTAGCCCCTTCCAGAAGCTCCCTCGTGTTGCCCTCCTGTGTATGCTGGTGGCAGGCCACAGGGTGGGATGATATATGCGCGAGGGACTGAGTATTGTGTGTGTCGTGGACCATTTGTGGGGGTCTGCAGGCAGGCCATCTCCAGTGGCTCATGGGCAGATTCCTAATGGAGGCTGTGCCGTGGTTTGTATGGTCCATGTTGGTTTACTGCCCTCCAAGAGCCCTGGGTGCGGTTCTCCTAGGTGCACCCCACTCCCCCATTGAGCAGTATATCTCAGTATTCTGGGTGGGGCTAGAAAGAGGGTTCTCTGTGGCAGCATCCTCAGAGCTGGGGGAGCCACTGCTCACTCACATGTTCTCCCTGCCCTCCACGGGGAAATCACAGGCTGGAAGGTTTCTCTTGGTGGGGAACTGTGTCACATGGGCAGGGCTGATGAGGTTAAAGTGAAATTGTTCTTCGTGCCCTCCTCAATCTATCCAATCTCAGATTTGTTTTGCTCCACAGCGTGCTGGGTCTTCTCTGCTGGACTTCCTCACAGGCACTTCCTTTAGTTTACTGTATAACTGTGAAGATCAGTGGTTCTTTGGGGGGGGGGGGGATGGAGATGGTAGAAAATTAGTGGACATGCTCTTAAGAGAAATGTTTTAAGACACAAAGTTAAAAAACTCAAATGAATCTCTAACTGGCAAAATTTCAGGCAAAGTAACAGAAGACTGAAAAACAAAAGTCAGGTTGTAGGCATGTGTTGGCAGATGGGGTTAACTTTCCAGGTAACTCATACTACTAAGTGTGTATACAGTTCCTTTGGGCCATTTCTACTTTCCATGGCTTTCTCCCTTTATCGAAAGCTTAACCCAGAAATTCTTTAAAATACCAATGGCTGGGGCACCTGGGTGGCTCAGTTGGTTAAGCGACTGCCTTCGGCTCAGGTCATGATCCTGGAGTCCCGGAATCGAGTCCCACATCCGGCTCCCTGCTCGGTGGGGGGTCTGCTTCTCCCTCTGACCCTCTTCCCTCTCTTGCTATCTGTCTCTCATTCTCTCTCTCTCAAATAAATAAATAAAATCTTTAAAAAAATAAATAAATAAAATAAAATAAAATACCAATGGCTGTTTGGGAGATCCCTCCTCACCTATCAACCCTGGAGGGGAGGGGGCAGAGGGAATACCATTAACACAGAGAGAAAATGGCCCACCAGGATGTATCTCAAAGAGGCTTACTTTCAACCTCATACTAGTAGATTAGTGTTCATAATATATATAATATATAGTTTAGGTAAATTACCACACTACAAAAATATTTAATAAAATCTTTAAGAAACTTAGAAGTGACTGATAATTGATAATTCTCTTAAGTAAACAGACTACAATAACATTATAGTCACTGGCTAAGTTCCATCAGTTTTTTTTAATTCTCTTTGATTTTTTCTCTTGGTCTTCTGTTATCCTTTCTGCAGGTCGCTTCTTCAAACCCTTCATTTTCCTGGTTTGTAGTTTGCTTAGGTCTTGCTTCTGCATATGAATCCTTCCATAAGTTGTACCAAAAGTATCATGGGAGACATTTTTCTTCTTCTTTGGCTATGAAACAAGAATATATATATAAATAAATAATTATATATATTTATTATATATGTAATGGTATCTATTGTCATAAACTGGTAAAAACCTAGTGTACAACTATCTTACTAATAACTCAGAGCACCAATTCAATAATATAGTCTATAACCCTATAGAACTTTCTTCTCAAACTTAAGTACATACAAATCCCTTGAGGATCTTGTTAAAATGCATATTATAAATCAATAGGTCTAGGGCAGGACCTGAGATTCAGCATTTCTAACAATTCCCAGGTAAACTGTCAGACCACACTTTGAAAAGCAACACTATAAACTATGCTAACCATTGTCATGCATTGAGAGAATTTCCTGTGTTTAGCTTAAGGAATTGTGACTATCATTTCAATCTTTACTGGCATTCCAGAGATGCCATTTCTACTTGTTTTTCAAACCATTCAAAAGTCAAAATACATTTTATACAAGTTATGGGTTATATACACATCCTGTACTCTAAGTCACCAATCTCCACAATGCCCCAATTTTCTTTCTTGCTTAAAACTGCAGTCTTGGCTACCAGAAAGCTCTTAGCCACAGTTGATGCATGGTTTCTACAACTCTTTTATTATCCTTTATGGTGGCTTATTTGCTTCTTCCTCCTTTTCTTTGTTCTGAGAGTCTAATTTTATGTATATTATTGAGCTCTTTCTGTATGTTCTTTAGTGTCCTATGCTGCAAATCATTTTTGGAAAGAAGAGTGGAATATACAAATAAATATGGCACCAATCTGCAAGTTACAAACCTTGAGCGCTTTTGGCATTTTCATAGATAATTTATAAAGATCATCTGATGCCAGATGTGTCCTCCTCAGAACCAGATCCAATGAGGGACCCATCTCTTCCAATTCAATCCTTGGTGTTCTACAACCAGATTTCTTCAACAGCAACCTTTATGAAGTAGAAAAAAAAGAAATATTGCTTTGACTTTGATGGAAGTCCTATCCCCTCAAATATTTTTGTGTAAGAGAATTACAGTTCCATAAAATGACACTGTCTTTAGGAGGCTAAGCTTCTTAAATACTTTCTGCATTTAGGCCAAGTATATTCTTTGGTTTGCTGCTTTTTAAAAATCAAACACAACGGGGCGCCTGGGTGGCTCAGTCGGTTAAGCGTCTGCCTTCAGCTCAGGTCACGATCCCAGAGTCCTGGGATCAAGCCCCGCATCGGGCTCCCTGCTCCGCGGGATGCCTGCTTCTCCCTCTCCCACTCCCCCTGCTTGTGTTCCCTCTCTCTCCGTGTCTCTCTCTGTCAAATAAATAAATAAAATCTTAAAAAAAAAAAAAAAGTTTTAAAAATCGAACACAAAAGAATACAATACTGTTGGGCGCCTGGGTGGCTCAGTCAGTTAAGCATCTGCCTTCAGCTCAGGTCATGATCTCAGGGTCCTGGAATCAAGCCCTGCATCTGGCTCCCTTCAGTGGGGAGTCTGCTTCTCCCTCTGACCCTCACCCTACTCGTGTTCTCTCTCTTTCAACTAAATAAAATCTTAAAAAAAATAAAAAAATACAATATTGTTGAGAAACAGCAAGTGAGACAGACAATTCTAAGAAATTAAATCTTTTTTTTTCCCAAAGATTTTATTTGGGACGCCTGGTGGTTCAGTCAGTTAAGAGTCGGCTTTTGGCTCAGGTCATGATCCCAGGGTCCTGGGATTGAGCCTGGCATCAGGTTCCCTGCTCTGTGGGGAGCCTGCTTCTCCTTCTCCCTCTAGCACTACCTCCTGCTTGTGCTCTCTCAGTGTGTGTCAAATGAATAAATAAAATCTTTAAATAAATAAATAATAAAAATAAAATATTTTATTTATTTGAGAGAGAGAAAGAGTGTAAGTTGGGGGGTGGGGAGGCAGGGAAGCAGGGTCCCTGCTGATGATGATGCAGGGCTTGATCCCAGAACCTTGAGATCACAACCTGAGCCGAAGGCATCCGCTTAACTGACTGAGCCACCCAGGTGCCCCAGAAATGGAATCCTTTGATTTGACTTCTTCGTCTTACTTACAGATTTACATAATTATAAAAACAATTTCAACTGAGCCTTTGAAATGTTACGTTTACATGATTAACAAATTCTTATTTCTCTAAGACCCATTCAGAATCCACTTTTGTGCATAGTACAGACGCTTACTGAACTCTATAGCTTGGAATGAACTTTAAAATCCTAATATAATGGGGTGCCTGGGTGGCTCAGTCGGTTAAGCGTCTGCCTTCAGCTCAGGTCATGATCCCAGGGTCCTGGGATCAAGTCCCACATTAGGCTCCCTGCTCAGTGGGGAGCCTATTTCTCTGCCCCTCCCTGGCTCGTGCTCTCTCTCTCTTTTGCTCACTCTCTCTCTCTCTAATAAATAAATAAAATCTTTAAAAAAATTTTTTTAAGTAAAAAATAATAAAATCCTAATATAACAAAACCAAAACTTTCTAGATTCTGTATGTCCAAATAGCTCTGGATCTGAAAACAGATGAGGGACATAGGCAGGAGAAGAGGAGACAAACAATCTCTTTTTGTGAGTGATACCACAAGAACAGCTCAAAGACCTGAAGATTATTTGAGCTGACTCAATTTGTTCTAGTGGCCAGATCTCTACATGGAATAAGAGAATTAAATGAGTAACAATGTTTATAAAAGATCAAACTTTGCGAAAAAAACGATCAAACTTTTCACACCAAAGGTAGAAAGTGAGAGAGGCAACCAATGACACCAGAGAAGAGACAGAACATGAGTAAAAGCTCAGTAAGGAAAACCCACAACCAACCAACTCCAGGAAGCAGAACAGAGTGTGCACAAGCTCATTAATAGCCTTTCGGGCCCCAAATGCATCACATGCAGACAGTCCACCCATGGGAGGTGCATCTACTGGCTGTAAGAAGAGTCTTAATGATAGATACGCTGTATCAGACACAGTTATTTACACCAAACTGAACAAGGCAAAAACAAAACAAACACCGACCCAGGATATGTAAAAAGCAGAAGTGTTAAACAATAAAAAAAGCTCTACTAACAATAAAAGATAACATGAATATTAGTATGGGACTTAAAGGGAGCAAGCAGAGGGGAAAAAAGCCAAAACAAGAGTGCTTAGGTAACTCTCTTCATTGTGGTTCCAGGAGAAGAGAGTTGAGAGTACACCTGTCTCAGGCCCACGGTGGAAGTTGGTGGTATCAGGGCATCTTCCCTAAAAGCTGATTTAAAGCATATGGTGGCAGTGACTGTTTTGACTGTTGTAACTCATGTATTTCTGCTTCTGCATCCACATTTTCAATACCTCCAGATAAATGATATTTATAAAGCTGAACTCATAACAAGATAAGTATCTTGATTAACATCTTGTGTTCAGTAGACTAAGAAATCGGAGAAATTGTATATATAAAAATGGCAAACTAAAAGTGTTTCTACCACTTAAAATAATTTTCAGCTAAATGGAAAAGCTGTAGATCTAGAACAGCTCATTGCATGCCTGATGGATTCACATCACCCAAGTACCTTTTTATCTATGCAAGTATCCTCCTACCAAAGTAATTTTTTGAGTGTATATAATAAAGATTATTTCCAAATAACTACACACACACACACACACACAATCAACATATGCTGTTATTTACCAAAGAATTAAGTTACAGTGCCATATTGTCTGTATAGGTGATCTTTCTTTTTTAAAGATTTTATTTATTTATTTGAGAGAGACAGCATAAGCCAGGGGAGCAGGGCAAAGGGAGAGGGAGAAGCAGACTCCCCACTAAGCAGGGAGCCCGACATGGGACTCAATCCCAGGACCCCAAGATCATGACCTGAGCCGAAGGCAGACGCTTAACTGAGCCAGCCAGGCGCCCCTGTGTAAATGATCTCATCTGAATTACTTCAATGGGCATGTTTATTGGCAGATCAAACTGACGCAATCAGAAGAAAACTTTCTCCAATTTTCAGTTATCTATGTATGGTTTCTGGTGATAGATCTATAATTCTTTTTCTTTATTAAACTCTTTTTTTTTTAAAGATTTTATTTATTTATTTGACAGAGACAGAGATAGCGAGAGCAGGAACACAAGCAGCGGGAGTGGGAGAGGGAGAGCAGGCTTCCCGCCGAGGAGGGAACCCGATGTGGGACTCAATCCCAGAACCCTGGGATCATGACCTGAGCCGAAGGCAGACGCTTAACGACTGAGCCACCCAGGCGCCCTCTTTATTAAACTTTTAACAGTGAAGGGGCGCCTGGGTGGCTCAGTCGTTAAGCATCTGCCTTCGGCTTGGGTCATGATCCCAGGGTCCCAGGATCGAGCCCCACATCGGGCTCCCTGCTAGGCAGGAAGCCTGCTTCTCCGTCTCCCACTCCCCATGCTTGTGTTCTCTCTCTCGCTGTCTCTATCTCTGTCAATTAAATAAATAAAATCTTAAAAACAAAACAAAACTTTTAATAGTGAAATCTAGAATCTAAAATTATTATTATTTTAGAATCTAAAATTATTGTTAATCTTTAAAAAAAAACCAACTGGTTTACTTTTTCTCAGAGGGGATGCATTAATAAAGAACTTACAAATGATTTTTGTGATCACACTAAGCAAAGAGACTGACATTGACTCATTAAAAATAAAATTAAAACCCTTTCCTTCACCCTCATCCCATCATACACACCACACTGTTTTTTAAAGATAGACATTTCATTTCCAGGCCATCATGTCTCCAGCCAAATACCTACGCCCAAACTGTTACATCATATGCCTATTAATCTCCATCTCAGATCCTAACCTCAAGCTTTGTTTTGTTTTGTCTCTCTGTAAGCTCTAAATCAAAAGTGACATTTAATTCTGCAAGATTCTATGGTACAAGATGCAGGGACGCAAAGACAACCCAACTCCTTCCTTCTCAAATGGGCTCAGGTTATTAGATATGTTGATGGGTAATTTTTATACATTTTAAAACATTATTTGCCTATTTCTTGAGAAAGACTGCCATTACCACTCTTGTTCAAGTTGTAATTTCCCTATTTTTCTCCCTCCCATATCCCTCTCTTCTGCTGATGTTCTGTTTTCATTACTTAAACTCCCTGTCTACAATGCTGTTTGCTTGTTGAGGTACACTAATACTTCCTTGTTTTGCATGTTTCTCCCCATAAAACCTAACCAATGTCATGGCAAAGGCAAATGTGGCAGTTCAAAGGTCAGATCAAAGTATATTAATATAACTTCATGTTTACACTTTTTCATCCAAGAAACTCAAAGCCATTTTCTAAGATTAACCTTATTAACTTCACAAATAATGTGTATTACCTTTTACCAATTGCTTAAGGGCTGGTTCCAAGTAAAAGAAAGAGGGCAGGACACCAAAGAGTACCCTGCAAGAGTGCCTAAGGAGCTACACTAACTTAGACACACCTCTCCAGTATATTCCCACCTCTATCCACAACCCTCTCCCTCTTATAAAGGAATTACTGTTGATCTTAGAGGGACCGCAGAATTACCTACATGGTATCACTACCTTTTGCAAAGGAAAAATGGAGGCCCTAAGCAGTGACCTGCCTAGGTCATGTGGCTAAGCCTCGCCCAGAGCCAGCTCCCTGGGCTCAGAGGTGATGCTCATTCCTCAGACCACTTCTTCCTTCCTCTCCCAAGAGCGGCAAGACCTCTGCAGACTAAGCTAATCTACATCGAATGATTTTTTTTTTCCCACTAGCAGCTTGCTCTCATTCACACAGTCTATTTTCTATTATAAATCAATAGCTAGCAGGTTATTACGGGACCCGTATAAAACATCTGGGATTAAAATTACACTAGGGTGTCTGATCTCAAAAGTTCAAACTTTTTTTTTTCATTACGGGACATGCCATGCTAACCTAATGGTGATTCCAGCAATTCTTCTTAAAGTAAATGGATGAGTGGATATGTGTAATTACACTGCTAATTTATCCATGTTCTGAAATCTGATTTACTAATTTTCTGTCTGTTTTATTTTCTCTGCATTTCTTTCTTTACAAATTAATCTTTCTTTTCACTAAATACAAGTTCTGATATAAGTGAATTCTTTCTTTTTTTTTAAGATTTTATTTATTTATTTTTGGGGGAGAGAGAGACAGACAGACAGCAAGCACAAGTGGGGCAGAAGGAGTAGCAGACTCCCCGATGAGCAGAGTCCCCCTGATGCGGGACTTAATCCCAGAACCCTGGGATCATGACCTGAACCAAAGGCAGATGCTTAACTGATTGAGCCACCCAGGCACCCTAAGTGAATACTTTCTTTGAAACTGTTTACAATGAAAGAGTTTTAGATTACTGTTATTATTCACTTCTTATTCTCAAAGATTTTGATCTTTATATTTTTAGCTCCTTTGTATCCCCAGGGTGGGCTGACACAACAAGTTGTTTTTTTTTTTTAATATTTTATTTATTTGACAGAGAGACACAGCGAGAGAGGGAACACAAGCGGGGAGAGGGAGAGGGAGAAGCAGGCCTCCCGCGGAGCAGGGAGTCCGATGAGGGGCTCAATCCAGGACTCTGGGATCATGACCCGAGCTGAAGGCAGACGCCCAACAACTGAGGCACCCAGGCATCCCAAGACACAACAAGTTTTCAAAAAGATTTTTTTTAATGTTAGTGATTTTTCATCTTTCTTATTCTATAAATGGAGTCATCTGCTTTGTAATATATTCTTCATAGCACCGAAGTTTGGAAACTCAGACATAAGGCTTTCAATCTCAACAAGCTCAAAATGATTATAAAATCCCTCTTTAAAAAAATTTAAAAAAATAAAATTATAAAAATAACTACCTAAATATCTAAATATCATGTGGATATTTTATTGCATTTTGGCTATTATTATTATTATCTAAACAAAAGGAAAATAGAAAAACAGAAGTGATGATACCAATCATGGTGAAAAGAACAAAGTATCTCTGACTCAATACAGTTGAAACAAAGATGGGAATTACTGACAAAAGGTGAATATTTAGTTTCATTTGGACATTCACTAACATAAGTTGGTCAACCAGATAATCACTGTGAAGAAAAAAAACAAAATTAGGGGCCTGGCTGGATCAGTAGGTAGAGCATGTGACTCTTGATCTCAGGATCATAGGTTCGAGCCATACATTGTTGGTAGAGTTTACTTAAAAAAACAAAAAAAATGTAGGGGCACCTGGGTGGCTCCACTGGTTATGCATCTGACTCTTGATTTCAACTTGGATCATGATCGGGGTTGTGAGATTGGGCCCCATGTCGGACTCCGCTGCACTGACCATGGAGCCTGCTTGAGATTTTCTCTCTCCCCCTCTCCCTCTGCCTCTTCCCCCTCTGGCACATGGGCACACACACACTCATTTTCTCTCTTAAAAAAATAATTTAAAAAATGTAAAACCATGGATGAAATGCTGAGGTCCACAAATGGTTGCACATATAGCACTAACATAGAGAAGTCACTGTCAAAACTGAATGGTCAGTGGCTCTTGGGCTGCACTGCTATGCCAGAACTCAAAAATGGACATCAGTCTGAATTCGATGTACAAAGGAAGGCAGTTTGTGGGAGTTGATATATTCTCCAGGAAAAGTGTGGGCTTGATCAGCCAGTGCCAATGCTTTCTTTCTTTCTTTATTTTTTTTTTTAATTTTTTAAAAAGATTTTATTTATTTATTTGACAGAGAGAGAGATAGCCAGAGCAGGAACACAAGGAGGGGGAATGGGAGAGGGAGAAGCAGGCTTCTTTCCGAGCAGGGAGCCGAATGTGGGACTCAATCCCAGGACCCTGGGATCATGACCCAAGCCGAAGGCAGACGCTTAACGACTGAGCCACCCAGGCACCCCAACGCTTTATTTTAAAGAAGAAAAAATATATATATGTATATCATGATTACCTCAAAAGGCACAATTGTAGCATGTCACTAAGCTTTTTAATGAAAACAAAATCAGTGTTAGGATTTATATTTATATTGTGGTAGAGGTAGGGCTAGATGGTCTAGGCTGGAGAAAGAGGGTAAAATGAATCTAGCCACTGAATCTTCTCAGTCCTTTTAGACTCGTTTTTAGGTTCAGAGTTTTGAGATTTGCTTTGGCTGGCCTAAGACTTGTGGCTTGGTGCTATAAATCCAGTCATGAAAAAGAAGGAGGGGGGCGCCTGGGTGGCTCAGTTGGTTAAGCGACTGCCTTTGGCTCAGGTCATGATCCTGAAGTCCCTGGATCGAGTCCTGCATCGGGCTCCCTGCTCGGCAGGGAGTCTGCTTCTCCCTCTGACCCTCCTCCCTCTCATGCTCTCTGTATCTCATTCTCTCGGTCTCAAATAAATAAATAAAATCTTTAAAAAAAAAAAAAAGAAGGAGGGGCACCTGGGTGGCTCAGGTGGTTAAGCGTCCAACTCTTGGTTTCGGCTCAGGTCATGATTTCATGGGTCATGGGATCAAGCCCCGTATCGGGCTCCGCAAGGCGTCTGCTTGGGACCTTCTCTCCTTCTCCCTCTGCCCTCCCCTCCACTTCTCAAATAAATAAAAAAAAAGATCTTAAAAAAAAAAAAAGAAAAGAAAAGAAGGAGATATTGCATAAAGTAGGGTCAAGATTGAATTTGTGTTCTAAGGTCAGAGGAGTGTAGCATCAGATGCTCTGGGGCCCTGAAAAAGCAGGGTTTCAGAGGAAGAAGGGGGCAGGGGAATGACAGATTTGGGGAACAACACAGACCTGCTGTGTCACTACTAGTTTGTGGACTCTCCAAACAAACTTCTGACCAAACACCAATTCTAAGTCTGAGCTCTACAAAGGTCACACTAAAATGCTAACCCTGGATTCAAAAATATGCTACACAATGTACTTACTTATAGCTTCGAAAGTAAATCTTGCCATTCAATGCAGTGAAGTGCAGAACATACTCTAAACCAGCCAGGCGGATATTTGGTACCGTGGGGCCTCTGAAGAAATCTGAAAACAAATTTGAGATCATTAAAAAAAAAAAAAAAAAAAAAGACTAACATGCTTTTAAATTCACTTACAGAAAGCCAGATTGCAAAGTGCTCCATATTGTATCAATACGTACCTAAAAAGATAAAAAGGTGACACAAAAACTGATCCCTGAAGAATGTCTGAGAGTCCCACTCCTCTACCATTTAAGCTCATGACTTTGTGTGTTTAGTTCACTGAGCCATGTAATTTGTCAGTTTTGAAGTTCTCACTCTAAGCCAATGCTTAACATATGCGTATATCGTATTTATCATGCATATTAACTTCTTTAAAAATGTAAATCAAAGCATAGAATTTTTTATCTATGACACAGGTAGGTTAAGATGACAAATTTCTATGGGGCGCCTGGGTGACTCAGTCAGTTAAGCATCCAACTCTTGATTTCAGCTCAGGTCATGATCTCAGGGTCGTGAGATCCAACCCTGCATAGGGCTCCACACTCAACATAGAGTCTGCTTGTCCTCTCCCTCTGCTCCTCCCCCTGCATTCTCTCAAATAAATAAATAAAATCTTAAACACACACACACACAAAAGAGCTGTTCAAACTTTGACTATTAAATCAAATTAGGCTTTGTTTTATGGTAGAGGCCAACATGGAAGTAATTCTAAGAAGAAATCTCAATTATATGAGCAAAGATAATAAACTAAAGTGTTAAAGCCAGAAAAAAACCACTGAGATCCATGAGTAGGCTGTTTTCCCACAGTGTGGTGGTCATATCACTAGTGGCACATGAGATCATCTTAAATGATACACAGGCAGATATAATTTACGATGTATTATTTATTTTATCAGATACCATTTTCCATTCATGGTAGAAACATAAACTTTCCTTGTAAAAAAGGAGTCAGGATAAAGAAACATCTCCAGTGAACAACACTATGAATACTACATGTACTTGGCTAAAGTTATGAAGGTAGCATGTGAATGAAAAAAGTTTGAAAAACAACAATCATTTTATCTTAACAAACAAATTTCAAAGTCCTGTTCACTAGGGGCGCCTGGGTGGCTCAGTTGGTTAAGCATCTGCCTTTGGCTTGGGTCATGATCCCAGGGTCCTGGGATCAAGCCCCACATCGGGCTCCCTGCTCAGTGGGAGGCCTGCTTCTCCCTCTGTCTGCCGCTCCCCCTGCTGTGCTCTCTCTCTGCCAAATAAATAAATAAAAATCTTAAAAAAAAAAGTTCTGTTCACTAAAAAAGCCTACAAACAATGACCAACCATGAAACAATTCCTATCACCCAGACTGTGATTTCCAAAATAATTTCTCAATTTAAAAAAGTTCAGGCCTCCTTAGAGAAGCAGCTGATTCCAGGAATGGAGCAATGAAAGTATGAGGAGTCTGAAACATCAAAGGGGCAATGAATTAAAATGTGTCTCAGAACATTGCCAAAAAGACTGACCCTAAAATGGGCAGGAATGATGGCTGAGATAAAGAGAGATATTAATGAGTAAGATAAAAATAAAAACCTGGCTAAATACAAGTAAGGGGGTGAAGAGGTAGAAGAAAAATTGGTTATGGTCAGAAGGAAAGCCCTAGCTTGGACCTTTTCTCAATGGATCAGTTCCAAGTAAAATAAGGCCTCAAGCGTGGCTGTGTCCAGGAGTAAATATACTGAGAAAGGGCACAGAAGGCTAACCAGGGTTTTGATGGGAAAGACCAGAGGATCCAGAGTTAGAGAATAGATCAGATCCTGATTCTGCCACTTACTAGCTCTTTACTCTGGATAAATAAGTTAACTGATCTCAATTTCTTCGTCTACAACAAGGGAATATTACCATAATAAACTGAATGTTTGCCCCCCATTACTCCCCCCGATCACTACCAAATTCACATGTTAAAGTCCTAACCCCTGATGAAGCTGTATTTGGGCCTCTAAGGAAGAAATTAAGGTTAAATGAGGCATGTCGTAAGGTTGGGGTTCTAGTCCCATAGGACACTATCCTTATAAGAGACACTAAAGGGGCGGCTGGGTGGCTCAGTTGGTTAAGCGTCTGCCTTCGGCTCAGGTCATGGTCCCAGGATCCTGGGATCAAGCTCTGCATCGGGCTCCCTGCTTGGCGGGAGGCCTGCTACTCCCTCTCCCACTCCCCCTGCTTGTGTTCCCTCTCTCGCTGTGTGTCTGTCAAATAAATCTTTTAAAAAAAAAAAAAAAGAGACCCTACAAAGCTGACACTTTCCCTCCTCTCTCTCCCTCCCTCCCTCCCATGCACAGACATGAAGGAAAAGCCAGGTGAGTACATAGCAAGAAGGCAGTAAGAGTCCTCATCAGAAAATGAGATCTTGGACTTTCAGCCACCAGAACTGGGAAAAAAAAAAAAAATTTCTGTTTTTTAAGCCACCCAGTGTATGGTATTTTTTTTAGCAGCCCAAGCAGACTAATATGATTACCTTTGTAAAGCTGCAGATTACCTGACCTAAACTATGGCAGTTATTTTCATCATTATATATTTTTCAAGTGGAGTTAAGAATTAGGAAATGAAAAAGGTTAAAAAAATTAAAATGACCACTGATATAAAGAAAGGCAATAAGAAAAAAGTAACCCAGTTGGGAAGTTAAATTTTAAGATAGGCTTTAAAGGAACATTTAATAAAACTAACCTACTACTTGATTTACTATATCTTTGTATATAAGAAATAGTAATATTAAATAGTAACCATAAAAATTAGGATACACTGAATCTAAAAATAGATATTTACTGATTTTCTATAAAGAAAAGCAAGACCACTAAGATTAACTACAAATTTATATAGTACTTAAGAAAGCAAAACAGAAGCAAAATTCAGAATGAACAAAATGGCTACCTGGCATAAAAACACTGAAGTTTTAATAAGTTAACTTTTCTTTCTGGCCAACTACCAAAAAAAAAAAAGAACTTCCTAAAAGGAAGCCCTTGATAAAATCCTCTTTCCCTACTGTTCTACTTTATTTCATATGAACATAAAACATACACCAAGGAGTCTACAGCTGGTCTTACTTCATATTTATATTAAAAACCAACTTCCCTTGGGGCCTGACAATCTCACTTCATTCCTCTACCTTTCTTGTTCCCCAGATTCCTTTTGGGTTTTCATTCCCTCCCCTTCACCACTGCATTATGTGGTTATTCCTGCCATCTAGTGGAAGCACAAAATAATAAAGTTCTCATAAAAACTACTTAAAAGCAAACAAAAGCCTTCTCTGTTTTAACAAATATATATTGACAATTGATAATTATACAGAAGAACTAGGGGAAAAAAGGCAGAAAATCTGAGCCAATGGAGTACAAGAACAAGAAATCCTGGCTAAAAACCACCCTTGATATTTTGGGGTGTGTAATATTGGAAAAAGGAAATGTTGGTCATTGTCTTTCATTGTTTTTTTTTTTTTAAATTCATGAAAAATTCAGGTAAGAACCTATAGCAAAGACTGCAACGAGTCAGTTGTTCAGCATGGGCAAGATGGGCGGCAGAGGCAGAAAAGCTCAGCCTTTGGTTTTCATTTTGGCTCACCTACTTAATAGCTCTTAATGTCTCTAACCTTCCATTTTCCCATCTGTAAAATGGAGTATCACTAAACTCAAAAGCTTTAGTAAGGACTGAACTGAGCACTACTCAGTTCTTTAAAACACAGCCATTTTTTTAAAGTAACTTCTAAACCCAACATGGGGCTTGAACTCATGACCCCGAGATCAAGAGTGTGATGCTCTACCAACTGAGCCAGCCAGGTGTCCCAAAATAGCCATTATTAGTAAGAGAAATGAAAAGTTTTGAAAATTGCAATCCCAACAATAAGACCATAAATAATCACAACAAGGAAAAATGAAAGCAATGTGTCTGCCCACAAATGTTTTTCAGTTGGCTCAGATTTGTTTCATTTTTTATTTTTTAAGATCTATTTATTTTAGAGAGAAAGAGAATGCAAGTGGGGGAAAGGGCATAGGGAGACAGAATCCTCAAGCAGACTCCCCACTGAGCACAGAGCCCAACACAGGGCTCAAACCCAGGACCCTGAGATCATAACCTGAGCCAAAATTGAGAGTCAGCTGCTTACCTGACTGAGCCACACAGGCACCCCCCAGTTGGTTCAGATATGTAAAGAGCATGTGTACAATTTCATTTACTTGTAACAGGCAGCTCTTCCTGCCCATGGGTTCGGTCTCTGTACTTTAATAAAAACACCTTTTTGCACCGAAAAAAAAAAAAAAAATAGAAGAAGAACTTATTTGTAACATATACTCCAACTTTCCAAAAGTGATCTAGGGCAAAGTATATCAAAATCCAAAAGAAGGACAGGGCGCCTGGGTGGCTCAGTCGGTTAGGCGACTGCCTTCGGCTCAGGTCATGATCCAGGAGTCCCGGGATTGAGTCCCACATCGGGCTCCCTGCTCAGCAGGGAGTCTGCTTCTCCCTCTGACCCTCCTCCCTCTCGTGCTGTCTCTCGTTCTCTCTCGCAAATAAATAAAATCTTTAAAAAAAAAAAAAAATCCAAAAGAAGGACAACCAAAAAACTGTAGCAAAGCTTGTAAGAATGGTTAAGAAGGGACACCTGGGTGGCTCAGTTGGTTAAGCGTCTGCCTTCAGCTCAGGTCATGATCCCAGGGTCCTGGGATCGAGTCCTACATCAGGCTCCCTGCTCAGTGGGGACTCTGCTTCTCCCTCTGCCTGCCGCTCCCCCTGCTTGTGCTCTCTTTCCTCTCTCTCGCTGACAAATAAATAAATAAAATCTTAAAAAAAAAAAAAAAAAAAAAAAGAGGGGCGCCTGGGTGGCTCAGTCAGCTGGGCATCTGCCTTCGGCTCAGGTCATGATCCCAGGGTCCTGGGATTGAGCCCCGCATCGGGCTCCTTGCTCAGCTGGGAGCCTGCTTCTCCCTCTCCCTCTGCTGCTCCCCTGCTTGTGCTGTCAAATAAATAAATAAAATCTTTAAAAAAAAAAAAGAATGGTGCAAGGAAAGCTCAGATGGAATAAATTACTTAAACTTGAAAAAATGCTGCTGTGTATCAGAAGAGTTTATATCTCTAGGGATGAACTAAATTACTTTCCAAAGTTAGAAAAGAGCCGGCAAAAGTGATCACAAGGGCGCCTGGGTGGCTCAGTTGGTTAAGCGACTGCCTTCGGCTCAGGTCATGATCCTGAAGTCCCTGGATCGAGTCCCGCATCGGGCTCCCTGCTCAGCAGGGAGTTTGCTTCTCCCTCTGACCCTCCCCCCTCTCATGTGTTCTCTCTCATTCTCTCTCTCTCTCAAATAAATAAAATCTTTAAAAAAAATAAAAATAAAAATAAAAATAAAGTGATCACAAAATATTAAGTAGGATTAATATTAGCAACCTTTAAGAAATTACAGAGAACAATAACACCAGCTTTTCAAAAAAGGGGAGAAAAAGTGATTTAAAATAGGTAAATTTAACATCAATCCCAGATAATGACAATAACTGTATACTGGATTTCAAGAAGGTGACTTGTGAACACAAAGGAAAAGATGTAGTCATTACATAAATCATTAGGAACTAATGTAGTTCACTAAGAATAAGTCATCTGTAAGACAATTTTACAAGGTCGTGAGAATAAAGCAATAGATATAAAGTACTTAGTACATGCTTGGCACTTAGGATGACAACGATAATGAGATAAAAGGAGCTGGGAAGTCACTGAAGGTTTCCTGGGGAAGAAACTTGATCTAAAACTTGCAAGAATGAAAGAAACTAGGTAAATAAGAATGAAATCAGAAGACAATAGGAAAGTGCATGATATATTTTCAATAAACCACTTTTTTAATGGAAAAGAGGGAGGAAAGTGAGAGATAAAAAACAAAACAAGTTATAAGGGGTTATAGTGTAAAAAGCCTTGCACATCCGCCTAAGAAAAATTAATAGAGATTTTTGAGTTCGAAGCTGATGATGTATAACAATCTTGAAAACTTAACTTTTCAATTTTCTAAATTTAATGATGCCAATGACAGGAAATGGGTGTAAGCATTTTATAAAGTATAAATGCTTTATAAATAGGTTGATACTGAAGTTACTATAGCATCAAAAAATAATAATGGTCTATGCAATACAGCATCCCTTAACCTCTCCCCTGCTAGTGGGGAATAAAACAAAAAATGAAAAGGGGGAAAAAAAGAGATCAAAAAGAAAAAGCTGTGTACCTACAGTGAAGTGGCAAAGTGTCATCAATGACAGTCCTAGATTGCCTACCTCCCCTATCCTGGGGATAATAAGTATTAAAATGCTTACCAATAAGAAGACTTTTTAGCCTTCTGTAGTCTTCTGTTACATCAAAATCATCACCAGCAAATATTAACATGGGTTTTGTTCCCTCGGGACATTTACTATTCTATGAAATGGAAAAAAAATTATAATGATATAATTATCAATTCTAAACCATTTATAAGCTGGTTTTAAAGTAGTCAATACTTACATACAGTGATTAGTTCTCATATTTTGACTGTCCTAAAACTATGTTTATGAATATTGATTAAAATCTAAAGACTTGGGGTGCCTGGGTGGCTCAGTCAGTTAATCATCTGCCTTCAGCTCAGGTCATGATCCCAGGGTCCTGGGATGGAGTCCCACATTGGGCTCCCTGCTCGGTGGGGAGTCTGCTTCTCCCTCTACCCCTACCCACTGCTCTACCCCTACCCACTGCTCATGAACTCTCTGTCTCTCAGATAAATAAAATCTTAAAAAAAAAAAAAAATTAAGACTTAAAACTACAGTTGCAACTTTTAAATTAAAATACAGCTTTTTGTTTCATTCCCTCACATTGTCAAATAAGTGGTCAAAGAATGATTCAAAGAATAAAATAAAAAACTAAAATTGCTGCTAAACATACATAGCCCTTTAACAGCCAGCATCTCAGAGTCTAAACAAAGTTAATTTCTTTGAATTATTTACTACCACTGTACCTTTACCTACTGTATCACATAAACAGTATTTTAGGGGTGCTTGGGTGGCTCAGTCTGTTAAGCAGCTGAGGTCATGATCCTGGGGTCCTGGGATTGAGCCCCACGTCGGGCTCAGCGGGGAGTCTGCTTCTCCCTCTCCCTCTGCCCCTCCTCCCTCTTGGTGCATGCATGCATGCTTCTCTCTCTCTCTCACTTGCTCTCTCAAATAAATTATTAAAAATCTTTAATAAACAGTATTTTTAAATGAAAGCTAATCTAAACTACCAACTAAACAGGGGCGCCTGGGTGGCTCAGTCGTTAAGCATCTGCCTTCGGCTCAGGTCATGATCCCAGGGTCCTGGGATCGAGCCCCACACCAAGCTCCCTGCTCCGTGGGAAGCCTGGTTCTCCCTCTCCCACTCCCCCCTGCTTATGTTCCCTCTCTCGCTGTGTCTCTATCAAATAAATAAAAAATCTTAAAAAAAACCCCAAAAAACTACCAACTAAATATTCACATGAGAAGCAACAGAATTTTATACAAGCTATAGAAAGTATGAGCAAACCTTACTCGGCATGATTGAAGCTCTTACTATAAAAGTATTTTGTCCTGTTTTAGATTTTTTTTTTTTAAAGATTTTTTTATTTGTTTATTTAACAGAGACAGAGACAGCGAGAGCAGGAACACAAGCAGGGGGAGTGGGAGAGGGAGAAGCAGGCTTCCTGCTGAGCCGGGAGCCCGATGTGGGACTCGATCCCAGGACCCTGGGATCATGACCTGAGCCGAAGGCAGTCGCTTAACCAACTGAGCCACCCAGGCGCCCTAGATTTTTTTTATACAAAGAATAACATGATGTCAACAATAAGAATCTTTAAAAGCCACAAAAATAAAAGAAGAAAAAATCTAACAAAAAAATTCTTTAACTGAATGATTAATTTCTGAAGGCAAACGGGTGTTAGTCTGAGCTTTCCGTTGATTCTAGCACCTCTATTCTGGTTCCAATCAAGGACTGTACAAATCTAGAAATAAACAAACAAACAAAACTGGACAAGAAAACAAACATCCTGTGCCCTAGGACCAGAGGTCACGTTGCTTCCCTGTTCACCATGACCACTTTTGTTGACACTCTCTGCTTCCAAACTCTGAACCTTAACTGTCTATACTTAGGAGGTGTGCCTAAGATCTGTCTGCGTGATCTAGGGCCTGAAGGGACCTACCAGACCCAATGACTCTTCCACTTACTGTCTGTGCCGACCTGACCCTGCTACTTCTACCCCTATGTCTATGGGGGCTGTTTAAGTATACAGAAGGTAGGAGAAAGTGATGCAATATCCTGACCACAATGCATAGTAATAAAAAAAATAACGTTAAGTCATGACCCGGTATACACATCATAAAAATACAACTGAACGAGGGGGCGCCTGGGGAGCTCAGTAGGTTAAGCATCTGCCTTCTGTTCAGGTTATGATCCCAGGGTCCTGGGATGGAGCCCATGTCGGGCTCCCCACTCAGCAGAGAGCCTGCTTTTCCCTCTCCTTCTGCCCCTTCCCCCTCCTGCTCATGCTGTCTCTCATTCGCTCACTCTAGCTCTATATCTCAAATAAATAAATAAATAAAATCTTTAAAAAGATATGTAACTGAACAAGTTATATGAAACAGTACTTAACATTTAGATCACTGATATTTTTCACAATGTGAAAACCCAGAACTAGAAGAAACTACAACAGATGAGCTTTATTTGAATAGTGTAAGACACTAAAAATTCAAATACTATGTAAGTACTACGATTATAGTATACTAAAACATCATAATTATGTGACATCCTTGAACTAACCTTCTGAATTTTTTTTTTTTTTAAGATTTATTTATTTGAGAAAGAGAGCAGAGAGAAAGAACGTGAGCCCAGAGAGGGGCAAAGGGGGAGAGACACTTTAGCAGACTCTGCGCTGAGTACAGAGCCCAATGCAGGGCTCAATCTTATGATCCTGAGAGATTATAACCTGAGCTGAAACCAAGAGTTGGACGCTTAATACTGCACTACTCAGGGGCCCCTGAATTAAGTTTTATTTCATTTTGTTTTTAAACAAAGGGAAAAAATTCTTACAAATCATATACAAACTTCCCATACAAAATATCCCCAGGCAACTGCAATGTATCTTATCCTATCTAAAATAAAACCAACTAGCCTTAAATTTTAATCATCTCATTCATTAAGGCTTATTTTACATAAAATAACCATCCCTAGAAGTTTGGCCACATCTTAGAAAATAGACTCCTACAATAATCACTCAATTTCCTGGTAGAATCGAATCACCTGTTGCTTGAGAGTAAACAAAAGGATGAGGCTTGGCTTGGTAATAAAGGTAGGCAAGTGAGAAAAGAAATACTGGTGAAAAAGTCTTAAAAATAAAGAAGTAGATGTAAAAAGGAAATAAATATGAAAAGAAAGTATAACAAACATGCAATTCCAAAACAAATTAAAAATAGAAGGCTATAATGGAATAATGAAGTAAAAGTAAGGTCCGGTTAATAGTCTGTGGGGGGGGTGGGGGGCGCCTGGGTGGCTCAGTCAGTTGAGCGTCTGCCTTTCACTCAGGAAGTCATGATCCCAGGGTCCTGGGTTTGAGCCCCACGTCCAGCTCCCTGCTCAGCGGGAAGCCTGCTTCTCCCTCTCCCCCTCCCCACTGCTCATATTCTCACTCTCTCGAATAAATAAATTAAATTAATAAATAAAATTTTTTTTAAAACTTAAAAAAAAATAGTCTATGTAGGAACTGCCAATGTAAGCATACCATCATCAATTAGTGGCTTTAAGAGTTAATGGATATGCTCCATGAGTGAAAATTTAGTATTCAATTTAAATGGTTCTTGTTTAGAATGAGATCTGACAATAATGGTTTTGTGGTCTGGTATAGAAGCTACACAGTAACGGAAGTACTCCTTTGCTTAGGAAGTGAAATGCAAAGAGTGGAGGGGTTGGCATGCTCGCATCGGCCAGTGTTCACACCCACTAACTGCTGACCAAGTAGCAGCAGTGGTGAAGGTAAAATGGGGATATGCTGCTCATCTCCAAGGATTCATGCACTGTCCTAAAAGACAAACTGTAATAAGATGAGCTTCCACCATAATAAAGCATCACAGTTTATACACTTTCCTAAACACCTTCTAAAATATTATCTTCACTAACTAGTATTTTCACATATATTATCTCATTTGAATACCTATTTATTTTTCTTAAAGATTTATTTATATATTTGAGAGAAGGGGAAAGTGAGAGCAGGGGGAGAGGCAGAGGGAGAGGATCTCAAGCAGACTCCTTGCTGAGCACAGAGCCCGATAAGGCTTGATCTCATAATTCTCAGATCATGACCTGAGCAGAGATCAAGAGTCAGATGCTGACCAACTAAGCCACCCAGGCGCCCCTGGTATTATTATACCTTTTTAATATTTGATTGCAATTGAAGGTCAAGGAAGTAACTGACTTGTCATGTCACAAGTCATCTAAATGGCCAACACAGGCCTTCAACCCAAATGTTCTGCCTCTAAATCCAATCTCAGGCCACTGTTCTACCTTGTACCTGAAGAAGATGCTAAAGCTAAGTCAGGATCTGGTAAGAGGCTTTTTCAAACCCCAGAAAACTTGGAAGGCATGTTCTCTTTTTAGGGGAGACTAGGAAAAGGAGTCATTATATATTTTACAATTCTTTCAACTATACCATGACCCTCAAAGACCCATAAACTAAGAACAATTATGTAACTTTCCATTACAAACTTCAATATTCATTCTTTCAATGTTCATGGTTATACCATTCACTATATGTATGACTCCAGGTCACCAACAGAATTCCTCTGGGCCTTGATCTCCAACTCTACACAACAGGGAAAGTAATTTCAGCCTTACACAGGGTAGCTATGAAGTCTAAATAAAATAACTATTTGATGGAATATTTGATGGAACAGATTAAGCCAGAAGCAGAATTCTGAAGGAGTAGAAGCCCAGTTTGGACCCAGGAACTGAATTAGCACAGTTTTCTTGCCTTTCTAAGACTATTTACTACTTTCTATTTTATACCATTTAAACAAAGGAGACTCAAAGATGCAAGTCCTGAAGGAAAGGACTGAACTAGCATTTTGGTGGCCAGCAGCCTAAATATTGTAGGATCAGCTAAAGCATCCTAGGTTTAGAACAGAGTTCACTTTAGGGCGCCTGGGTGGCTTAGTCGTTAAGCATCTGCCTTCAGCTCAGGTCATGATCCCAGCGTCCCGGGATCAAGCCCCACATCGGGCTCCCTGCTCAGGGGGAAGCCTGCTTCGCCCTCTCCCACTCCCCCTGCTTGTGTTCCCTCTCTCGCTGTCTCTCTCTCTGTCAAATAAATAAATAAAATCTTAAAAAAAAAACAAAACAGGGTTCACTTTGAAAACTCTGGTATTGGGGCGCCTGGGTGGCTCAGTTGGTTAAATGTCTGCCTTTGGCTCAGATCATGATTACAGGGTCCTGGGATCAAGCCCCATGTTGGGCTCCCTGCTCAGCAGGGAGTCTGCTTTTCCCTCTGCCTCTCCCCTCACCCCCCACCACCGCTTGTACTCTCTCTCTCTCTCACTCACTCTCTCTCTCTCAAATAAATAAATACAATCTTTTTTTTTTTTAAAGATTTTATTTATTTATTTGACAGAGAGAGACACAGAGAGAGAGGGAACACAAGCAGGGGGAGTGGGAGAGGGAGAAGCAGGCTTCCCGTGGAGCAGGGAACCTGATGTGGGGCTTGATCCCAGAGTCCTGGGATCATGACCTGAGCTGAAGGTAGACGCTTAACCGACTGAGCCACCCAGGCGCCCCTAAATAAATAAAATCTTAAAAAGAAAAGAAAACTTTGGTATTTCTGAGGTTCCATAAAATAGGTGCTGTGACAATTCAGAGGGATGGGCCCAGACAAGAGTTAATAATCGCTCTGAAGTCTAACTGCCAGAAGATCCACATATGTGTTATATGCTGTAAATAAATACTTCTTTTTAAAGTAAAGATAAAATGAAATTTGCTTTTATCTCAGCACACTAGGATAAAAATAAAGTTCTTTCTTTCAAGGTACAAAACTGTAACAGTAGTCTTCACCACAAGATGTCACTATTGCCCAAGAGCAATATTACAAAATGCCTTGTATTTTTATGCTGAGTAGCTTACCTTAATATCTTTTAGAGAGACAAACTTCTCGATACCCAATTCAATCATATCCAGCACATGGTAGTCATACATACGACCTAGAAGGAACACATTTTCTTTTAAACATTTATTTTTCCCAAACAGCCACCTTATATGTACCCACTTAATCTGCATGTTCAAAATGTTAGTCTCTGCCTCTTTTTTCCCCTCACACCCCACCAAACACATCCCCTCTTTCTTAAACTTTCAACTCTATCTAGAATAGACTGTTACAATCTTGGCCTGAAAGAATCTTGGAAATTACTGAGCCAAACTCCCTGATTTTATGTAAGAGTAAATAAAGGCCCACAGAAGGAAAAGGGCTTGCCTACACCAGTGACCATGCCAGACCAAGTGCAAAACTTACCAGGGAGGGGTTCATTTATGTGGGTAGGTATGCTACTTTGTGTTTTTTTCTCTAACACAGATTTAAGGTACATATATTTTATATCAGGAAAGTAGCTGCAACTTTATTTAGGTAAAGTAATATTTACATGCCTATTGTTTACTTGCAATCTGGTAGATAAAAACTTTTATTCAAAAAGTCACAAGGAAAATTTTAAAAAACTAGCTTAGAGATTACTTGTTACTCCTGAATCCTCAACACATCAATTAATCTGAGTCACAAAACTGACTCTGTAAATAACAATATTAGAAAGTAAGTGATAGGGGCATGTGGGTGGCTCAGCTGGTTAAGAATCTGCTTTTGGCTTGGGTCATGATACCGGAGTCCCAGGATCGAGCCCCACATCAGGGTCCCTGCTCAGCAGGGAGTCTGCTTCTCCCTCTCCCTTTGCCCCTCCCCCTGCTCCTTCTCTCTCTCTCTCTCTCGCTCACTCACTCACTCAAACAAATAAATAAAATCTTAAAAAAAAAAAAAGAAAGTAAATAATATTTACCTATTACTAGATTATTTGGCCGCTTCTTATTATGGGAGCCAAACATAAATAAAGAACAATCTGACTTCTTTGAAAAGAATTCCTATAAAACCAAAAAAACTCTAATTAGTGCATTAATATAAGAACTTTAAGAATCACACCTCTGAACTTTAAAAAAAGTAATGAATACTTAATGAACTAGACAGGAATAAACAGAGGAAAGGGACTTTATTTCTAGCTTTTTACTTCAATTTTTCTGATTTGGGGTACCTAGGGATAAGAAATAAGTTTAAGACTAAAAATATGTTGAAAAGTTTAAGTTAATAAATAAAATGAGACTATTTATTCTCACCAATGCAGTTTTGAAACCGCACACTAGGTATTTCATTTGCTGAACAAATGCCTTTACTCATTAGACGTTACGGCTACCGTCAATGGTACATCTTACCATGCATTTAAAATACACATGAACAGGGGCACCTGGGTGGCTCAGTCGGTTAAGCCTGCAACTGTTGTTTTTTTAGGATTTATTTATTTATTTGAGAGAGAGAGCGCGAGAGCACAAGCAGGGGGCAGGGGCAGAAGGAGAGGGAGAAGCAGACTCCCTGCTAAGACCAAAGCCCAACGCGGGGCTCAATCCCAGGACCCCAAGATCATGACCTGAGCCAAAGGCAGCAGCTGCTTAACCAACTGAGCCACCCAGGAGGCCCTAAGCCTCCAACTCTTGATTTCAGCTCAGGTCATGATCTCGTGTCAAGCTCTGTGCTTAGCAGGGTGTGGGTATGGAGCCTACTTAAAAAAAAAAAAAAGTTTCTTAAGTGTCCAAATAAATTCCAAATAAATGAAAATGCTTTCTTAAAATGTTTTTCTTTTTACATTCTCTTACTATGACTAACACCCCGAAGCTATTCATGAACTACCTTTCACATACATATATAGTACTCATCTCTACTGTTCTTCTCCATAAAAAGTCCACTTTTTGTTAAAATTCTAGAGCAAGCATAGTCAAATTATCTGCAAAAGGCCAAATAGTAAATATTTTTAGGCCTTTTACATGCTTTTATAAAGAAACCCTTTAAAAATACAAAAACCATTCTTTATGGCTCTCACAGAAACAGGGATTTGACCCACAGGAGGTATATTTGCCAACTCTTGTTCTAAAGCACAGTTCCAAAATTGTAAGAAATGTGCTACTGAAAAAAAAAAAAGAAGTGCTACTGGAGGGATACATGGTCAGGAGAAGGAATTCAACCACATTTCCAACATGACCACTGTTTCCACAACTATTGTGAGCTTTAGTAGTCTGAGATTTTCTCCATCCAATGAAGTATCTCCTATCTCTGGAGGTGGGATATCAAAGAGAGGAAAGTCACAATTTCAAATGTAAGAAAAACTGTCATATCAAAACGAGATTGACAAAGAAGTACAGAGGGGCTCCTGGTGGCTCAGTCAGTTAAGCGTCTGCCTTCGGCTCAGGGTCCTGGGATGCGGCCCTGCATCAGGCTCTCTGCCCAGCAGGGAGTTCTCCCTCACCCTCTGCCACCCCCTCCCCTTGCTTGTGCTCTATCAAATGAATAAAATCTTAAAAAAAGAAAAAGAAGGGGTGCCTGGGTGGCTCAGTTGGTTAAGCCACTGCCTTCGGCTCAGGTCATGATCCTGGAGTCCCGGGATCGAGTCCCGCATCGGGCTCCCTGCTCAGCAGGGAGTTTGCTTCTCCCTCTGACCCTCCCCCTTCTCATGCTCTCTCTCTCTATCTCATTCTCTCTCTCAAATAAATAAATAAAATCTTTAAAAAAAAAAAGAAAAGAAAAAGAAGTACAGAATGCTACAGATTCTACATCACAACACTGCTACAAAGTGGTCACTCAACCAAAAGCATCATGGTGCCAAAACAAAGCAAGCCCTTGATAAGCAGTATATGAAAGAGAAAGAATTTTGGATTAGAGCCCTTATTTTCAATTTCACAATCTCTTCAACAATGACTGTGAAAAACCCAAGACTATAATGAAAGTAATTTTGTAAAAAACTGAATATTGGGATGCCTAGGTGGCTCAGTTGGTTGAGCATCTGCCTTTGGCTCAGGTCACGGTCCCAGGGTCCTGGGGTCGGGCTCTACATCAGGCTCCCTGCTCAATGGGGAACCTGCTTCTCCCTCAGCATATCTCCCCACCCCACTCCTCGTTGTCTCTCTCCCTCTCAAATAAAATCTTTTTTTAAAAATTTTTTAAAGGGGCATCTGCATGGCTCAGTTCGTTAAGTGTCTGCCTTCGGCTCAGGTCATGATTCCAGGGTCCTGGGATCAAGCCCCACATCAGGCTTCTTGCTCAGTGGGGAGTCTGCTTCTCCATCTGCCCCTCCCCCTGCTCATGCTCTCTCTCTTTCCCTCCCTCTCTCTCTCAAATAAATAAAATCTTTAAAAAAATATTTTTAAACCCTGAATATTGATTTTTCTTAATATCATTTTCAATGCAGTCAGTTGCTTCATTAGGAGAAAATGTTCATTTTTAGTCTTCTAATTAATTACTGAGATTCTATTCAAAAGTTCTTTCTTTTAAATTCGCTAACTAGGGGCGCCTGGATGGCTCAGTCAGTTAAACATCTGAGTCTTGATTTCAGCTCAGATCATGATCTTAGGGTCCTGGAATCGAGCCTCATGTCAGGATCTGCACACTCAGCGGGGAGTCTGCTTAAGGATTCTCTCCCTCTCCCTCTGCTCTTCCCCCTGCTCATGTGCACGCATGTGCATGTTCTCTTTCACTCTCTAAAATAAATAAATCTTGGGGCGCCTGAGTGGCTCAGTCGGTTAGGCGTCTGCCTTCGGCTCAGGTCGTGATCCCAGGGTCCTGGGATCGAGCCCCGCATCGGGCTCCCTGCTCTGTGGGAAGCCTGCTTCTCCCTCTCCCACTTCCCCGCTTGTGTTCCCTCTCTCTCTGTGTCTCTCTGTCGAATGAATAAATAAAATCTCTTAAAAAATAAATAAATAAATAAATAAATAAATCTTTAAAAAATAAATAAATTCACTAACTAAAAGGAAAAACAAGTAATGGTGTTCCCCTCAAGAGAACATGATCCCATTCTGATTTTTTTTTCAGTATCTTTTAATCTTTTTTTTTTTTTTTTAAGTAAGCTCTATGCCCCATGTGAGGCTTAAACTCACAACCCAGAGATCAAGAGTCACACACTCTACTGACTGAGCCAGCCAGGCGTCCCCCATTCTGACTTTTTTTAAGTCAATTTAGTTTAAACCACTTATTCTTTTAAGGTTTTCTTTAGAAAGAAAGCAGTATCATCACATACCCAAAGTCCATTCATCATTCACCATTTATTATATACCATCCTTTAGCTTCTGATTTTATTCACTAGTCTTTTTCATTTAGTTTGGTTGCCAATACACTCAAATAGGAATTTGATTAGTAAAGCAACTGACAATTGTTAGCAATAATTCACGTAGCATTCCTTGTTCTAAAAATATCCAAAGAAATAAGTCAAATTTTTAAAAATCAAACTTGCTTTATAAAAATAGACCTGTAACAAGCTTCCTTTTGATAATTATTAATTATGCACATAAAATATAATTCAACTTTTAAAAATTCTGTCGATAGGGCGCCTGGGTGGCTCAGATGGTTAAGCGTCTGCCTTTGGCTCAGGTCATGATCTCAGGGTCCTGGGATCGAGTCCCGCATCAGGTTCCCTGCTCAGTGCAGAGCCTGCTTCTCCCTCTCCCTCTGCCACTCCCTCTGCTTATGCTCTTCTGTCTATCTCTCTGTCAAATAAATAAATAAAATCTTTTAAAAAAATAAAAAATAAAAATTCTGTCGATATACTTACAAGCAGTGAATAATACTGGCAAAGTAAAATATAAGATCTATAGTCATATTTTTGAAAGTATGAAAGTCTTATTTCAAAATAATAAATAAATGTCTATTTCCCCTCCAATTTACATTAAAATTCCCTCATATAGGATGATTTCTAATTCAGAAACATCACAAATTAGGAATACTAAAGGAGCAGTGATTAGTCTGAATAATCATTTACATGCTCTCTTAAATCAGAAAGAGGCTTGGGGTGCCTGGTTGACAAAGTCAGTTAAGCGACCGACTCTTAGTTTCAGCTCAGGTAGTGATCTCAGGGTCCTAGGATCAAGCCCCATGTTGGGCTCCACACACAGCACGGAGTCTGCTTGAGATTCTCTCCCCTCTTCCTTTGCCCCTCCCCTCACCACATGCATGCTCTCTCTCTCTAAAATAAATAAACTTTGAAAAAAAAAAAGATTCAGGGTGCCTGGGTGGTTCCATCGCTTAGTGTCTGCCTTCAGCTCAGGTTGTGGTCCTAGGGTCCTGGGATCAAGCCCCACGTAGGGCTCCCTGCTCAGCGGGAAGTCTGCTTCTCCCTTTCCCTCTGCTGCTCCCCCTGCTTGTGCTCTCTCGCTCTCTGTCAAATAAATAAATAAAATCTTAAAAAAAAAAAAATTCTTGTACTCACCAACGATGTCTGATCCTCAAATGGTCTTGTAATGTTTTTCCTAAGAATATTTTAACAGGTGACCTTAATTTTAATAACCTTAATAGCAATTCACCCATAACAATTAAGTAATATATTAAATAAAGATAATTTTATATTCAGATGATCAAAAATAAAGCTGGAGGGATATTCATTCATTCAAATATGTATTTAGTGCCTGTTACGTACCAGGCACTGTTGTAAGAGCTAAGGATCCTGGAAAACAAATCAGACCCTCGCTTTCATGGAGCCTACATTCTAGTGAAAAAATAAAAATTTTAAAAGTAACTGTAGTGACAAAAATAAAATAGGGTATTCTGTTAGTATGAAGAGTAGAAAATGACTATTTGAGCTGAGATCTGAGAGATAAGCAATAAGCCATTGAAAAGTTTTGAAGCTAAGAGTATTCTAGGAAGAAGGAACAGAATAAGCAAAGATCTGAGATGGAAACAAGCTTAGACTATTCAAGAAATGGAAAGAAGGCAAGTGTCACTGAAGCTTAGTGTGCAAAGGGAAAATGGTGGGGCATAAGGCCAAAGATGAAGACATGGCCCAGATTATGTAGGGCCTTGTTGATCAAGATAAGGAATGTAGATATTAATAAAGTAACAGGAAGCATTGAAGAGTTTCAGGCAGGAGTGATAAGATCAGACTAAAATTTTCTTTTTATTTATTTATTTTTAAAGATTTTATTCATTTATTTGAGAGAGAGAGAGCACAAGCAGGGGGCGGGGCAAGGGAGAAGCAGACTCCCCATTGAGCAAGGAGCCCAATGTGGGGCTCGATCCCAGGACCCTGGGATCATGAGCTGAGCCGAAGGCAGCTGTTTCACAAACTAAGCCAACCAGGTGCCCCTAAAATTTTTTTCTTTTATTTTTTTATATAAATATTTTTAAGATTTTATTTATTTATTTGACTGAGAGAGAGAGAGAGAGCACAAGCAGGGAGAGCGGCAGGCAGAGGGAGAGGGAGAAGCAGACTCCCCACTGAGGAGGGAGCCCGATGTAGGGCTTGATCCCAGGACCCTGAGATCATGACCTGAGCCGAAGGCAGACGCTTAACCGACTGAGCCACCCAGGCGCCCCTAAAATTTTCTTTTTAAAGGACTGTCTGTCTACTATGTGAGAATGCAATGTAGTATGGCAAGAATGAAAAGAGTTAGTAAGAAGCTATTGCAGTAATCCAGAAGGGAAAGAAAAAAATGGTGCATTGGACTAGGAAAATTAGTAGTAGAGCTGGAGAAGGAGTGGGTAAAACATGTTATCTTTCATGTAAAAGGGAAAGAAATACAAATAAATATTTTTCTTTGCCTAAATATGCATCGAGGGGCACCTGGGTGGCTCAGTCGTTAAGCGTCTGCCTTCGGCTCAGGTCATGATCCCAGGGTCCTGGGATTGAGCCCCGTGTCGGGCTCCCTGCTCAGCGGGAAGCCTGCTTCTCCCTCTCCCACTCCCCCTGCTTGTGTTCCCTCTCTCGCTGTGTCTCTCTGTCAAATAAATAAATAAAATCTTAAAAAAAAAAAAATGCATTGACAAATTCTGGTAAAATATGTAAGAAACTAATGAGAGGTGGTTGTTCTGGGAAGAGTGTTTATATTTTCACTTATAATTTCTGATTTCTAATTATGTAAATGAAGTTTCTATAAAATAGTTCATAATTTTTATGAAGCAAAATCTATATACAACATGATCTCAATTTTGCTTAAAGAATAAAATAGGGACTCCTGGGTGGCTCAGTTGGTTGAACAGCCAACTCTTGATTTCAGCTCAGGTCATAATCTCAGGGTCCTGGGATTAATCCCCACCTTGGGCTCTGTAATTACTGGGGAGTCTGCTTGAGGATTCTCTCTCTCTCCCCCTCCCCCCTGTTCACACATGTGCTCTCTCCGTAAAATAAATAAATCTTTAAAAAAAGAATAAATGTACAGATATGAAAATGTCTGTTCAGATATGAAAATGGGTGAAGGGGAGTGGGAGATACAGGCTTCCAGTTATGGAATCAATAAGTCATGGGAATAAAAGATACAGTATAAAGAATATAGTCAATATCATAATAGTGACAGATGATAACTACACTTTTAGTGAGCATAGCATAATGTATAGACTTAACAAATCACTATGTTTTACACTTGAAACTAATGTAACATTGTGTGTCAACTATACTCAAAAAAAGAAAGAAAGAAAATATACAGGGAAAAAATATGTCAGAATGTACATAGTGCTATGAGTGATTACTTATTCCATTATCCCGATTATCTAAGAGAAATATGTATTACTTTTATAATCAGTAAAAAGAGTATTATTTTTAACAATGCGCAAGGCAAACAAACCAAGAAAAATTATTGCAGCATTTATGATTAACAGCTAGCTATAATTCACAATAAGCTAATATGACCTGTTGGAAACACAGAAAATGCAAATTAAACAAAGTATGTTTTTCACTTCTTAGCTTAAAAATATAAACCAAAAGTAGGTAATGGCCCATAGAACTTATATATTACACTCTGTCAAAAGGACAATCTTTTCAAAAAGCAATATAATTAATTTGCCCTATTGGGTATGAAGCTGTACCCAGTAATCTCATGTCTAGGAATTTCACGTAGGAACTAATTCAAAAGAATAACTCATTTGTGTAAAAATGGCCATTTTAGCATTATTTATAAGAATGGCAAAACAGAAAAACCTAAATTCCCCCAAATTAAGTTACAAGTAAATTTTAGTATAACCATTTAATAGGCATTATACTGGCAATGAAAATAATACCTAAAGGATCACCTATCAATAGAAAAGTGTTTACAATATAAATGAAAAAGGCTTGATATAAAATTTAATGTATGGCAACAACACAGATAATTTTTAGACATTTTGTTAATGCAAGAAAATAGACTCCAAAGGCTATCTGTTGTATGATGCCATTTATGTGACATTCGGGAAAAGGAAAAACTATAAGGATGGAAAACAGTTCGATGGCTAAAGGGGTGGGGGAGGGATGGCCTACAAGAGCGCACTGCACAAAGACATTTTCAGGATGATGGAACTGTTTCTGTATCATGAACTGTAGTGGCAGACACAGTTCAATGCATTTTTCAAAACCCATAAAACTGTACACCACAAAGAGTAAATTTTACATACATAAATTAAAACCACCACCAGGATGTGGAGAAAAACCCAAAACAGAATACAAACTGTAATAAATGACCCCAATTGTAGTTTAAAGGAATAACACAATCACATTAAAGAGGCAGAAAAAACCTATGTTCCATTGGGAAACAGTATTTGAACTGGATACTCTAAAGCTAAAGACACAAAGAACTATATACACATTCTACACGCTAGTTAGTTTGTTGCTTATAGGGTTGGAAATTCTGACACTATGTATGTACTAGAATTATACAAATAAATAAATATGTATATTATCAATAATGAAAGCCAGGTTTCTTACTGTCAGAAGAAAAAAGTTACACGGAAAGAAGAAAGGCTGGAATGAAGTCTGTGGCATTGGGCTGGAATTGGAAGTATTAGTATGAACGCATGATTTTTTAGGAAGTATCGATATGAACTCAGTCTTTAAAATACATAAATATAAATTTAGATATGCATGTATGCACAGGTTAATATGCATAACACATATTTTCAAGCTCTGTCTGCTGAGGGGATCTAGAGACAATGACACTCCAGAGCAACAGAGCATACTTAGTGCCCAGATCTTTGTTTCTAAATTACCAGTCTCCAATATATGGAAACAAGGCTCCCCAGAGAAGGGGCTGATTGCAGGGCTGTTGCAAGGAAAAATAAAAGATGAGTGTCGAGCATCTTGTGGCACCAGAAAGGAAGTACTCAAATACAAGGAGCATGCTGGAAAAGCATAGGCGCCGACCTGAAAAAGATCCCAAAGGCCAAAGGTAGAATTGGAGCAACAAAATAATGACAGCATTGGATTATAACTCCAAAGAATATAATAAACATCCGTAAGTCCACACTAATATAAATGAGTAATTCAACAGAGGAGAAGGGAGAGATTTTCCTTACAAAATTCCAATTAATAAATGTAGAAGGAATGAGGGAGATAGAAAACCACCATTAGAACAACACCAGAGTAAGGCGCCTGGGTGGCTCAGTTGGTTAAGCCACTGCCTTCGGCTCAGGTCATGATCCTGGAGTCCCGGGATCGAGTCCCGCATTGGGCTCCCTGCTCGGCAGGGAGTCTGCTTCTCCCTCTGACCCTCCTCCCTCTCATGCTCTCTGTCTCTCATTCTCTCTGTCTCAAATAAATAAATAAAATCTTAAAAAAAAGAAGAAGAAGAAGAACACCAGAGTAATCACCTCTGTAGACAAGATCCACTGATGGATGCTAAAATGAGTAAGAAAAAGTGTGAGGAGAAAGAGAATTATTTGCATAGTTTTTGCAGAGTCTCAAAGTATTTCCTCCAAACATTTATTAATTACAAAGGGAAAAATAGTAAATTTATAGTGGAGAAACCAAGCAGACTCACTTTAACTGAGGTTAATGCTACCAGCGTAACACATCCTGTACTCCCTGGTATGATTTACGGAGAAAAGCACATCACTTTAGTGGTACTCTTGCCAAAAATGCATAAGGCTCAGTCTGTTCATGAGAAACTTAAGACAAATCCAAACTGACGGACATTTTACAAAATAATTACCAAGTACTCATCGAAAGTGTCAAAGTCATCAAAAAAGGAAAGACTGGGGAACTGTCACAAATGGGAGAGTAAGGAGACATGACAACTAAATGCAATGTAGGATCCTGGAAGAGAAAAAGGCTATTACTGGAAAAACTGGTACAACCAAATCAAGTCTACAGTTTAGTTAACATTATTGTACCAATGTTAATTTCTTACTTCTGATAACTATACTATGGTTATGTAAGATGCAACATTAAGAGAAGCTGGGTGAAGGTTATGAGAAATCTACTAATTGCTGCAACTTTTCTGTATGTCTGTAATTATTTCAAAATAATATATATATGCTAAGATTACAACTATGTAAGTATTCAATACAAATGAAAACACAAACTGGAAAGAAATAAATTTTAAAAATACTAATAGCTGGGCGCCTGGGTGGTTCAGTTGGTTAAGCGACTGCCTTCGGCTCAGGTCATGATCCTGGAGTCCCTGGATCGAGTCCTGCATCGGGCTCCCTGCTTGGCAGGGAGCCTGCTTCTCCCTCTGACCTTCCCCCCTCTCATGTGCTCTCTCTCTCTCTCTCATTCTCTCTGTCTCAAATAAATAAATAAAATCTTTAAAAAAATAAAAAATAAATAAAAATACTAATAGCTATATGTAAGGAACCATCATGTTTTTTAAACAAAATACTTTTCTAAATCTCCCATAAAGTAACTGTTTGCTACTTTTATAATAGAACAATATAAGTTAAACTAAAATAAATCATTACTTACTTTTTATACAGAACTCCATACGGTTTTTTCAGTGCATACTGTAAAACAAAATTTATAGCTTTCAAAACAAATTACATTCTGAAAAGCAGAAGCAAAAATTATATTGCATTGTATCAGTCATTATACAAGATTACCTGGTCCCTGAATCCTATTCTGATGTCTTCTGCTTGGCTCCCTTTTAATCACTTATATAAACCTGCAACATAAGCTTAATAACTTAACTTAAACTGCACTTCCTTAATCTAAAGTTTCTATGCCCTTTCAAAAATCTGTCCAACTTAAATGATTCCTTTCATTTCTTTAAATTCTACCTATCCCACTCTTTCCAGACAAACTATTTATTTGAGAGTAGAAAGAAGAGCAGAAGAGAACAAAAAAATAAATCCTATCAGAAAAGGCTGTCAGAGTTGAAATAATGTTGTCTGGAGATAAGAGAACGGAGAAAGTGTCCCGGTGATGGCAATCAGAATACACTACTCAGGAGTTTAAACACAGCCCTTTAAAAAATTCCTGTCATTCAACCCTCTTTTCATTTTTTTCTTACTTCTTACTCATTCACTAATAATCACTTATTACCTGTATGGTCAGTTCTGCTCTACCACAAGGAATAACAAAGACCTAAGGCATTCCCTTGCATTAGGAAAAGGGGTAAATGAGGGAAACAATGAAACAAAAAATGATCATTCATCAACAATCAGAGCTAATGAACAAAGGAAATTTAGTAGTAAAACCTATCTTTTTAAGTACTAAACTTTTTTTTTCTTTTTTAAAGTTTATTTGTTTTAGTAATCTCAACAGCCAACGTGGGACTCAAACTTTCAACCCCAAAATCAGGAGTCACATGCTCTTCCGACAGAGCCAGCCAGGAACCCCTTCAATACTAAAAATTTTAATAATTCTTGACCAAATGTTTCCCTGCCTTGGTGTAATGCACATTACCACAGTGACAACTCAAGAATCATAAATATGAATGCTAACTACCACAGTAATGTGTAATAGTGTGCTATTCTTAGAGCTTACTTAAATACAGGGCCAGTATCCTACCAATACAATGACACTGAGACAGAAAGATGAACATGTATTAGACATTCAGATATCTGAACTATTGTGTTTAACAAGCATAGAGAGTTTAGTCAAGTTTAAAAGTCTATTCAATTACTTAGTTGATTTAAGTCAAAGAACCTATCTGTTGTATTCAAGGCCTAAATATTCAACCACCAACTAGGTATCTCCATAGACTATGCTTTCTAATCACTGATTAAACATTTACTGAGCATCTACCATGTACCACACACTGGGCTAAACAGCAGGCTACAGAGGTAGAAAAAAACATAGTTTTTATCTTCATCACTTACATTACAGGTCCTGAACTGAACATACCACTTCTCTCTCCAAACCTGCTCCACCTGGTATATTCTCTAATTGGCATTATCACTCATCAAGAACCCAACCCAGACACTTCCACCCTCAACATCTAGTCTCTCTGATCATCTCTCATTTTCACTTGCAATGCCACACTCCAGATACTATTACCTGCCTGACAGCAATGGCTGAATTAGTTTCCCACATTTGCTCTCAATTTTCTCTGGTCAAACCGATTAAAGGAGCTGATCATATCTGTCACCAACCATCTTTCAATGGTTCCTTAGAGCTTTCAGAACAAAGCTCAAACTCCATGTTATCTGATCCCTGTCTGTTCTTCTAGCTCCATAGAGCCCATTTTCCCTTTAGCCATCCCCAATTACTTGCAGTTCCCCAAATGCATCATGCTCCTTCACATTCCCTTCTTTGTTGTTGTTGTTTGTTTGTTTGTTTTTTGCACAAGTATTTTCCTCAGCCTTGGAAGACTTTCTCCTCCTCTTCCTCTCCTCCTAATTGCTCTAACTCCTCCTTCAAAACGAAGTTAAGTATCTTCTCTGGGAAGCCCACTCTGTGTGTGGCTACCCTTATGGGATTTTAACTCTGCCTCCCATCCTACCCTGTACATGCCTCCAGCAGAGCACTTAATTCACAGTGCTATAATTTCTGACTTGCCGGTCTCCCTCATTAAGCTCACTGAAGGGATAAATGTGTCTTATGTAACTATTAATCCTCAGCACCTAGCACAGTACTTGGTATTGCTGAAGGAATAGACAGTAATATGCAGTTATTTCACTTTACAAACTAGATATGTTCTTTAAATGCGAGTAAACCAAATTCTAGTAATTGAAACCAGTTGAAATTTACTAAGGGAACTACAGTAGTTGCTTCAAGGAAAACCAGTGGTTAGTGTCTTGCCAAGGCAAATAACCTCCAACTTGAGCCTTTCTCTAAGACTAGCAGTTCTTAAGGCAAGGCAAGTTTATCCATGTAGTTCTCCAGCAGCCTAAACTAGTATGCTGAAAGTTTCCTAAAATAATTTCAATAACATCTGAAAAATTAGAGTGCAGGGACGCCTGTCTGGCTCAGTAGGTAGAGTGTGCAACTTGTGATCTCAGGGTTGTAAGTTCGAGCCCCATGGTGGGTGCAGAGATTACTTAAAAATCTTTTTAAAAAATTTAAAAATAGGGGTGCCTGGGTGGCTCAGTCGTTGAGCATCTGCGTTTGGCTCAGGTCATGGTCCCAGGGTCCTGGGATTGAGCCCAGCATTGGGCTCCCTGCTCGGCGGGGAGCCTGCTTCTCCCTCTGCCTGCTGTTCTCCCTGCTTGTGTTCCCTCTTTCGCTGTCTCTTTCTCTGTCAAATAAATAAAATCTTTAAAAAAAAAAAATTAAAAACTACGTGTATATATATACATACCACATCTTTAAGTACTTGTGTCACCATTGAATTTGCATTTCCCCCTTTAATCAGCATAGCATTTTTAATATTTTCACTGAGTTTCGGTTCTCTCTTCTCAAGGAATCTCTTGGTTCTTTTCGTTTTGGGCTTTCTGTTCATAAAACCACAATTCAATTAACACAATTAAAACGTTTTCCTCAGAGTACAAAACTAAACTTGACTAACGTGCAAAGTCTTAAAAACCAACAGATATTACATAACATTTATCAGTTAGGATTCTACCACTAAACAAAATCTCACTTTTTAGGGAGATAATATATATCCCCAACATTCTTTTATTACTGCTTTTCCCCGAAACCTTTATTTAAAAAAAAAAAAAAAGACTCAATGCTTATACTGTTGCTATTTTTACTCCATTATTTTTTCTTCAGTCTAAATAAAGCAAATAGTACTTACCCTAACACAAAGAATTGCACACCAACTAGTGACCAATCTGTGGGCAGTTACTAAACACAGAGAGGCTACTAAATGCCTCTCTTTCATCCAGGTTTAAGACCACAATGCCTAGTAGGAAGTATACACTATCCCACTCCAACATCACAGCTGAGAAAGTCAAATATTATTGCTACCAATGGGGGATAATAATGACTGACAACTTTATAGAGTCACTCTATTAGGTTTATCTTCACCCAGATCCCACAACACAGGTAAAATTATTATCTTCATTTTACAGATGAGGCAACTGAGGCTAGGGAGGTAATGTGGCCAAGGTCACACATCTTACAAGTAGGCCAATCTTCAAAATGAGCTAGATTAAAAAACTCATCTAGACCAATCACTCTGCAAAATATGAAGGGAAATGATGTGACAGCAGGAGTAGAATGTTTTTATACATTTCTGTTCAGAAAAAGGGCTTCACTTCTGCTTCCACTATATCTTGCTTTTCCAACAGTTCTCTGCCATCTACTGAAAGAATTCCTCCTCTCTTAAGTAACTATGACCCTCCATCCTCCTTTCAGTCCTATGGACACTTTGGGCAGGAAAAGAGAAACAGAATATACACACACTCAATTTATCACGCAGAGTTTAAAAATTCTCCTCCAGATAAAATGTTAAGCAATATAAAGTTTCCAATCATTTGCTGTTTGATAAAGATACGTGTTTGTTAAATCAAGAATATTTAGTATGTCTAAACTAAAAAAATAAAAGTGCTCTATACTCTATATTCCATGTGGTTTGTTACTTCTCACTACCCAGCAAATAATGCAAATAACGTCTTATATATTTTATCAGCTGTTTGTCCCCCAATCAGATCGCAGTCTTAACTCATCTTCGCCATCCCCATACCTGGAGGAATATATAGAAGATGCGCAAAAATCTCTGAATTAATGACTAAAAGAAGAACTTGTTTTGGTTGGATGTTAACCAGGCAAATCTCAAGAAATAACAGCAGGACTATTTAGGAGATCAATAAATATTTTCTGAACGCATTTAAAACAAACATCAACTCGAGAAAGAAAAAGCTAATCAACATATCTACGTGCTGTAGCAAAAAGGCTTTACATACATTCTCGCCAATAATCCTCACAGTTCTACTAAGTACGATTATTACGAACGCTATTTTACAAAGTAAACCGAGGTTTAGGGGGATTTTATGGCCCAAAGTCACAAAGCTTTGAGAACGCGCCCGGACTGTCACCTACAGCTGTCAAATTCCGAGGCCTTGTGCTGGTGACCACTCATTCCCTCACACTTCTTGGGAAGCCCAGGACGTTTCTAACTGGCCGAGATAAAAGCGGCCATCTCCGTGCTACCGCCTGGCAGCTCCCACTAGTGGGCTTCCTGGCTCTCCATCTCCCGGCGGGCGGCGCCAACAGAGGGAGACCCAAGCTACTGGATAGATCGGCCCACCGCAGGCCCAACTGACAAAGAGCGGGAGGAACGAGGGGCAGCCAGGCGGAGCAGAGACTTTTTCACTCCTTCCCACCACAGGAGTCCCACTCTCTAACGTCCCCCAAAGAAGGGACCCAGCGCACTTACATGACTCGATCCAAAGCGTCCATGGCTACCGCAACGCGAATCCCGGGAACGCACGTGCACGGCGCGCTTCCGCGCCAGTGTTCCGGAACAGGCGGAACCGGAACTTGGGCGTGACGTCACTTCCTGGGACCGCCAGGTCGTGGACGCTTAGGGCAGTGCTGCGTTCCCTTGGTTACAGATTGTCTTTTAGCGGGAAATTAACACGCTAGGTAACACCGCCTGTAGCCGCTTGATGTACACGCCTGTGTGTATACCCGCAATAAGATATTCAGGGACTAGATGTTATTCTTCTGGGAATCTCCCAGAATGCTAAAAAGGTTGATGACATGGTAGGTATTCACGTAGTGGTTAAAAATATCAATGTGAAATGTGCACTATTGACTGAACTGTAAGATCAGTGAGGCAAAATTTAAAACTACCACAGTGCCTGGCTCATAAAAGGTGTGCAGAAAATAACACTGCTGGGGCGCCTGGGTGGCTCAGTCGTTGGGCGTCTGCCTTTGGCTCAGGTCATGGTCCCGGGGTCCTGGGATCGAGCCCCGCATTGGGCTCCCTGCTCGGCGGGAGGCCTGCTTCTCCCTCTCCCACTCCCCCTGCTTGTGTTCCCTCTCTCGCTGTGTCTCTCTGCCAAATAAATAAATAAAATCTTAAAAAAAAAGAAAAGGACGTGGGAAATAATGTCTGGCAGAGGTAACAGCAGAGATTAAAAAAAAAAGAACACTGCTGATCCTTATTTTTCCCCCAATTTTTAAATTGCCATATACTTCATATACCATAAATTTTACCCATGTATGGGCGCCTGGGTGGCTCAGTCGTTAGGCGTCTGCCTTCCGCTCGGGTCCTGATCCCGGGGTCCTGGGATCGAGCCCCGCATCGGGCTCCCTGCTCGGCGGGAAGCCTGCTTCTCCCTCTCCCACTCCCCCTGCCTGTGTTCCCTCTCTCGCTGTGTCTCTCTCTGTCAAATAAATAAAATCTTTAAAAAAAAAATTTTTTTTTACCCCTGTAAAGTGTACATGTCAGTGGTTTTTAGTATATTCGCAAAGGTAAAACTATCACCACTATCTAATTTCAGAACATCTTTATCACCCCAAAAGGAAACACCCACCCTCTCAACCCAGTAGCCATCACTACTCATTTTCCTCTCTTGCCGATCCCTGTCAACCGCTGATCTACGTCACTATAGATAGGTCTATTATGAACATAACATGTAAATGGAATCATACAGTATGTGCCCTTTCGTGTCTGGCTTCTTTCACTATGTTCATACATGTTCGCGTTTAAGGTTCAAATGTATAGCATGTATCAGTACTTCATCAGTACATTCATTTCTTTTTTAGGACTGAATAATATTCCATTCTATGGATATGCCACATTTTTTATTCCTTCAAAAATTTATGGACATTTGGTTTTTTTCCACTTTTTACTATTATGAATTAGGCTTGTTTGAATCTTCACGTACAAGTTTTTTTGTAGAAGTTTCAATTCTCTAGGAGTAGAATTGCTGGATCATATGGTAACTCTATGTTTGACATTTTGAAGAACTGCCAAACTAGTTTCTGCCTGCACCATTTTACCTTCCCACTAGCAATGAAAGAGGGTTTGGCACCAGTATTTCTATTCTATTTCTGTTTTCTATTACCATAAATTTACTGGTGTAAATAACACCAAGTTATGTTAGGGTTCTAGAAGTTGAAAGTCTGAAATTAGTTTTGCAGTTCTAAAGTTATGATGTCACGGGGGCCCCTGTGTGGCTCAGTCAGTCAAGTGTCTGTCTTCTGCTCAGGTCATAATCTCAGGGTCTTGGGATCGAGTCCCGCATCCAGCTCCTTGCTCAGCGGGGAGCCTGCTTCTCCCTCTTCCTCTGCCTGCCGCTCCCCCTGCTTGTGTTCTCTCTCTCTCTGTCAAATAAATAAATAAAATATTTTTTAAAATCTTTTTAAGAAAAAAGATTTAATTTTAAGTAATCTCTGCACCCATCGTGGGACTCAAACTCACAACCATGAGATCAAGAGTCATATGACCTACCTACTGAGCCAGCCTGGAGCCCCTAAACTTCTTTATAAACTTTTTAGGGGGCGCCTGAGTGGCTTAGTTGGCTAAGCATCCAACTCTTGATTTTGGCTCAGGTCATGATTTCAGGGTGGTGAGATTGAGCCCCAAGTCAGGCTCTACAAAGGGTATGAAACCTGCTTAAGATTCTCTCTCTCTGCTCCCCCTCCCTTGATCTCTCTCATAAATAAACGAATACATACATACATACACTTTTTAGTGGTTGCCCTAGAGTTTGCAATATACATTTACAATTAAATCCACATCCACTTTCAAATAACTACTTCATGGAGTGTACAGATACCTTATAATACAAAGATACTCCTAATTCCTCCTTCCTGTCCCTTGTATCATTTCTGTCATTCACTTCACTTAGACATAAGCAAACATGCCTTAGGCCATTTGAGGAGTTATAAGAGAATATTGTATACTGAGTGGCTTATAAAGAACAGAAATGTAGGGGCACCTGGGTGGCTCAGTCGTTAAGCGTCTGCCTTCAGCTCAGGTCATGATCCCAGAGTCCTGGGATCGAGCCCCGCATCGAGCCCTGCCCCGGGCTCCCTGCTCCATGGGAAGCCTGCTTCTCCCTCTCCCACTCCCCCTGCTTGTGTTCCCTCTCTCGCTGTGTCTCTCTCTGTCAAATAAATAAATAAAATATTAAAAAAAAAAAAAGAACATAAATGTATCAGCCACAGTTCTGGAAGCTGGAAGGTCTAAGATCAAGGCATCAGCAGGTTTGGTGTCTGATGAGGGCCCATTTCCTGATTCACAGACAGCCATCTTTTCACTGTGTTGTCACGTGGAACAAGGAACAAAGGAGCTCTCTAGGGTCTCTTTTATAAGGGCACTAATACTATCCAGGATGGCTTCACCCTCATGACCTAATCACCTCCCAAAGGCCCCACCTTGCAATACCATCACATTGGGGGTTAGGATTTCAACACAAGAATTTTGGGGGGACACGTTCTGTCTATAGCAATCCATATATACAAAAGCATTCATAGTCAAATATATTATTATTTGAACAAATTTATCTGGTAAATCAATTAAGAATAAAAATAAAATTTTTATTTTACCTTCACTTATTCCTTCTCTGATGATCATCTTTTCTTTATGCAAATCCAAGTTTCTGACTCATCTCATTTTACTTCTCTCTAAATAACTTCTAACATTTCTTGCAAGGAAGGTCTGCTGGCAACACATTCCCTCAATTTTTTTTTTTTAAAGATTTTATTTATTTATTTGAGAGAGAGAGAATGAGAGAGAGCGAGTACATGAGAGGGGGGAGGGTCAGAGGGAGGAGCAGACTCCCCGCTGAGCAGGGAGCCCGATGCGGGACTCGATCCCGGGACTCCAGGATCATGACCTGAGCCGAAGGCAGTCGCTTAACCAACTGAGCCACCCAGGCGCCCAGCAAATTCCCTCAATTTTTGTTTGTCTTTATTTATGTTTTTGAAAGTCTTTCTCTCTCACATTTAAAGGATAATTTTGCAGAGTACTGAATTCTAGCTTGGTGGGTTTTTTTCTTTCAATGTTTAAAATATTTCATTCCAACTGTCTTGACTGCACAGTTAATTGAGGAGAAGTCAGATGTAATTCTTACCTTTGCTCCTCTATAGGTAAGGTGTTTTCCCCCATCTGACTTCTCTCAGGATTTTAAATTTATTGTTAATTTTCTGTAGTATGAAAATGATATCCCTAGGTTTAGGGATTTTTTGGCATTTATCCTAGTTGGTGTTCTCTGAGCTTACTGGATCTGTGGTTTGGTGCCTGAAATTAATTTGGGGAAATTCTTAGTCATTATTGCTTCAAAGTTCAGCTTTTTATTTATTGTTACAATGGAGTGGCAACTTCCAGCTTCTCAGTGCTAGACCAGAAATGAGAAATGTCTCTGATAATATTTTATTGAATGCCAGATATTGTGAATTTTACTTTGTTGGATGTTGGATATGTTAAAAAGATTGGGGTGCCTGGGTGGCTCAGTCAGTTGGGTGTCCAACTCTTGGTTTCAGCTCAGGTTGTGATCTCAAGGTCATGGGATCAAGCCCCACATTGGGTTCCACACTCAGCTCAAAGTCTACTTGTCCCTCTCTCTTCCCCTCAGCCTCTCCCCTAACTAATGAGTTCTCTAATAAATACATAAAATCTTTAAAAAATATATTCTTGGGGCATCTGGGTGGCTCAGTCATTAAGCGTCTGCCTTCGGCTCAGGTCATGATCCCAGGGTCCTGGGATCAAGCCCCGCATCGGGCTCCCTGCTCAGTGGGAAGCCTGCTTCTCCCTCTCCCACTCCCCCTGTTTGTGTTCCCTCTCTCGCTGTGTCTCTGTCAAATAAATAAAATAAAATCATATATATATATATAGTGTTGCCTGAGATGCAGTTACTTGGAAATAGCTTGATCCTTTCAGGTCTTGCTTTTAAGTTTTGTTAGGTGAGGCAAAAGCCTTATTTAGGCTAATTATGCTCTGAGGCAAAACCGTTTTGAGTACTCTATCCATGCTCCATGAAATATGAGGTTTTCTACACTGGGTGAGAACTGCAAGCCCAGGGATTGTTCAGATGGCTCTTTTCCCTGCCTCCAGTGGTTTTCTGGCATACCTGTGATCAGTATTCTACTGAAGATTCCAGGAGGATTCTCTGTAGATCATTGAAGCTTTCTCTCTGTACTCCCTTTCTGATATTCTGCTGTGCAAGTTCCAGCTCTCTTGGTCTTCTAGGGGTTCCAGTTCCATCTCCTCACCTCAGAAAGACTTCTGATATTCATCTGGACTTCTCCTTCTTACACTGTAACCTGGAAATTCTCTCAAGGCAGTATTCTAAGGAAATCATAGGCTACCTCACTTGTTTCCTGGGATGGTACAATTTATGCACCAAAGTGAGGATGACAGTGTAGCAGACAGAATAATGTCTCCCTAAAATGCTGAGGTCCTAATCCACAGAACCTGTGAATGTTATATATAAAGGGTGTTTTGCAGATGTAATTAAGTTCAGGATCTTTAGATAGGAAGGTTATCCTGGATTTTCTGTATGAGCCCAATCTAATTACAAGGAACCTTTTAAGTTACAAAGGACCTTTTAAGAGGGACACAGGAGTGTAAGAATCAGA